CTGAAGACTACTATTTTAAGTATTATACTAAATTTATAGTATAGCTTGAACAAATCCCAGTTTGCTTCATTTTCTTTTCCCCTTGACTAGTTTTCACACGACGAGACGAGGGCAAAGATGATTTTGGACGGAGAACGAAGGAGAGGTTAGTGGTACTGGGGCCCGGTATGGTCGTGTGATGGATGTTCAACAGCTCCGTGGGCTGATCTCAGGCAGCAGATTAGGGCGTAACGTACGTTTGCATCAGAGTCCACTTGCCGTTAAAGGCCGGTGTTGTTTGGGCGAGTATCCGATGTTTCCAAGCTTGGTTGTGAATTATAGTAAAACCTTTTGTATGGGAAAATAAACCCAATGATTGAATGAATGCAATGTTCGCAAATATACTGAAAACAACTAATACACAATACGACATGGACCGGTTGTGAATTGTTGCCATCGTGTCCATCCGTGTAAGCTCTGCGTCTCCGTTGCTTTTATTTGTGCAGCGACCGCCGAGCCTAGTGGCGGTGCATCTGCAGCTGCTGCTGCGTCCTCCGCGTATGCGGCCTCCGGTCCACGCAAGGCGTTTGTGCCCCCGCCGATACCGACGTTTGACGAGCCAGGTACGTTTAGACGATCACCGTCGTGCTTTTCGTCATGGCCGTGCACCGGACTGTTGGTATGAGAACGTTGAAGCTATGTTCACTCAATGCTCCTACATGCTTTAACATGGCGGGGTGATCGTACATCGGCACATGTTTAGGGGTTTAAGACGACGGCTACAATGGCCAACCGGACAACAAAGAAGTTGAGGCCAAAGAGAATGATTTTATTTATTGCACATGCTTATCATGTAGTGTGACGTAACAGTCGAGAGTCAGGCCGCTACACATGTACCTTGCAATAAATGCTTTACCGCATTTTCCGGAGTAAGAGCCGCACTGAAGTAGAAGCCACACGCAGATTTTGTGACGAAATACAGACATCTACCCTGTATTCCGCAGTTCATTTGACCATCGCAGTTTATGCCGCACCGACTGTTTTCGGGCGAATCACGAGTGTTTAAAGTGAGCCCTATACTCTGGAAATACGGTACATCGTAACTCTGCTGGAGAGTAGCTATCTCTTAAACTGTCACCAGCAAATCCTATATATAGGATCTGCTTTCAGGCTAAAGGATTTCGCTAAACTATCTATGCAAATTGACGAAATGGGTTTCATGAGGTGTGTGAGACTGTTTTCCATACACTTTCGTAGGAATAATCCAAATTTCAAGCTGATCAGCCAAGCTTCCATTAAAGAGTGGTTGAGTAGCTGATTCATTTAGTTTCCTTGTTTTGCGTTTCACCTGTTCAGATCCAGCGCCGTCGACAACTATTGGTGTGCTCAGCGCTGCCAGCCTGCTCGATCGCTCGTCAGGATTTAGCAAGCCGGCCATAGAGGACACCGATGATTTCTTTTCATCCCTCCTCGGTGACAGGAAGAAGCAGTCGGTGCCATGGTCAAAGAAGGGCGTGCTGTCCGTGACGGCCACCGCGGCCAAGAGCAATGCCATGTAGGTTACTAGTACATGTATTCCGATATCTTTCCAGTCCCTCTAGTTCTTTTGTTCTCTCCCTCTGCGTTCGTTTGTGTGCCTGCCTGTTTGTCTGTCACGCATGCACACACTCCTGCTGCCTTGCAGCTGCGCACTGTCGTCATCGGGCCTCCACACACTCATGTGTGCCCAGAAAAGGATCACTTGTAATGAATATACACCACCACATGGATGACCCAAGAGTCCAGTTTCGCTCATGAGTCATGTTACGTGCACGCTCTTTTCTTGCACAGGCCAAAGCAAGCGATGGGGGATCCTACGCGAACATTCGGCACTGCTCTGGAGATCAAGGCTGCCGGCCCCAATCAGGAATTGACCAATGGCGCTGACCCCAGCCTACTTCAGTAAGTCATTACAACAACACTTTGTTACAGCAGTGATACACACCATTAGCCGATGATGTGGTTCACTGGGTCAGTAACTCCAGCATGTACTTACGCATCTCTGGTTCAGTAACTCCAGAGGACCAGAATGCATACACATATCGGCAGAAGGACTAACCACTCTGTGTATGTGTGTGTGTGTGTGTGTGTGTGTGTGTGTGTGTGTGTGTGTGTGTGTGTGTATGTGTGTGTTTGTATGTGTGTGTGTGCGTGTGTGTGCGTGTGTGTGTCATTGTAGTCTTGGTCATAAGCAGTTGCCTTTTCCGTTTGTCTGAACAAAGTCACTGTGGAAGGCAGTCCCGTGGTTAAGTAGTTACGGCTGAGCCATAAGTATGTGTCAAACCTGCCATTGCGCATGAAGTGTACCTGCCTCTTTTGACTACCGTATGCTGTGTTGTGTTGCGCCTCATCTAGGCGTGAAGGGCGCTTGGCAAGGGGCCGCAATCGCCGGCTGGCGCACGGCTCGCAGACACAGCTACGCAATGGACCCAGCGCCAGGGACAGCGGGCGCTGTTCGTTGGCTCACGGCCGTGCATCACTGGCGATGGGTGAGCCGGGGGGGGGGGGGGGGGGACGATTGCGTTGATGTTTGTGTACTCGTAGCCAACTTGGAGGCATTGTAATGGAATCACAGCCATTCCGTGCCCGGGATTCGGGACACAAAGGACAAGTAGTCATTTTGTTTACAACAGTTATCATTATAGCTATGTCATGACTGGAGACCAGGGACATTAGAGAGGTTCTGCTACACGGAACTACGTACCAAACTCCGTGTCAACTGCAGTGAAGTTTGACACGGATTTTTCGTACGTTGCACTGGTTCTGCTGTACGTAGCATGATCGTAGCATGATCGAACACCCCGCCACATGCACTCTGTACACTCCGTTTTCACACGGAGTCCAGTCCGTGTGAAGCGCGGTATGAAAAAATCCGTATGAAACTTGATCCCGTCCCGCGGCGAGGTTTCCATACGTACTTTGGCACGTTTTACCGTGTGGCAGAACCTCACTAACAACTCCAAGGGACTGTCATCATACAGGAAAACAATACAGTCAACTTCACTAATAACGACTGCGGATATAACGACAATTCGCGAATAACGACAGAATTTCCATGCCCAGCGCAAAGTCCCATCTAGCTGTAATACATATAATGAGACCTCGGGTATAAGGACACTTCGCGAATAAGCCCGGGGATTAAGGACACTTTTCTGATGCCCCGCCGAGTGTCGTTATACGCAAAGTTGACTGTATATCATTCTACAACCACACTCACCACTGCTCCCATAACGTTACCAAGCTGAGTTTACTATTCGTACTCTCTTGTCAGTGTGGCTTGTGCGCGGCAAAGCGCTCATGTGAGTGAGAAAACACACACACATGAAGCGGAGCATGGTGTCAACTGGACAGCTGCTCTCACGGGTTGTCGTCTGTATTTTGTGTCTGCCGCGGTGTGTGTGTGTGCGTGCGTGCGTGTGTGTGTGTATGAGCTTGTTCGCTATGATCGCTTTAGCGATGGGCTTGTGGAAGTGGAAGTATGAGCCTTTTTGTGGCCAGTCTTGTCCAATACTCTCCTTGTCCCCTCTGACTGCGTACATAGGAGCTGACGCGGACTACCACGTCGGACCAAACCGGGCTCCACGCCGTGCTCTACTTTTGGAGCCTGGGAGTATAGTATGAACCTGAAACACGCCGAAGATCCGCCGCAGTCTTGACTGGTGGATCGGTTGAGAAGGCTCGGGAGATGGTCCAGGCCGCATTCAATTGGTGTGGTTCAGCATTCGCTATGTGGGAGTTCAAGTGCTGCAACATGTACAACCAGCTGTGGGCCATGTGGAGTTGCCCGATGTCCGCTGGTGACCAGAAACTGCATTCTACATCTTGGCTGCAGTGTTTCAAGCCAACAGCTGCTGCATGAGTGCATTACGTATTCAGTCAAGCACCATAATATTATAACGTAGTGCGTTCGCAGATAGGATTTTCAGCCCTGTTCTAATAGGCTGTACTGCACACCAATCAATAGCTTTTGAGTTCTTTTGCTTGTGAAGCGCAGGCGTAGTTCAACTCGTTTCGGCTAGAACCAGACAAAAGCCGCTGTTTACGAGTTTCGTATTTTTAATTATTCATCTAGGAAGAGAAATACACGACCCTCTATCGTAGGCAGTACCTATTGTTCTGTAAAGATAGTCGAGTGATTGATTGCTCCATTGAAAATGCTTTTACAGGAAGCCTATAAGTGCATGCCTGTGGTACTGACTGATAGGAGTTCTGTTGACTTTACAAGTTAGTTCACTCACATCTAGAACCTGTACTGCTCTAGCACTATTCTAGCACAGTTATCATTGACATGCTGTTCCATGCGTGAACCATACGTTTATAACTACACACTGTTTACTCTAGTTTCAGAAATTTTCGGTGCTCAATATATTCGGTATGAGGGCAAAAGGCCAGGTTAGGTGAACAGAAAATTTAGGTACAGAGAAGCAGTTCCCTATTGGTTTATGTGTGTTAGTGTTTGTTCGGTGTATTGACATTTTTAGGTATGAAACAGATGCACCGAAAGTACCGAAAATAAAAGTACTTCGACAATTTGTGAAATTACAGTATACTTCAGTGACTGAATGGCAGTGGGGGTACTTGCATGGCAGCAGCACGGTCACCAAAGCGGGCGCTGTGACCCTGGAGACTTCACATTGACTTTGGCATGCTGCTCCCTAGTATACAGAATACTGAGGGTCAGAACCTGGGCTAACACCCATACGGTTCAGATGGTCGCAAGATCCGGGGCTCTGCCAACCGTGGATAGTTATAACAAGGGGCACAGTTTCCAAACATATGCTGTCAACCAACAACAAAACAAGGCTGATCTAATACCAACTACAGTAGGGACCAGGACGTCGTATAAATACGACTCCCTGGCAGGGACATGCAGTGTAACTCCTGTCATAACACCAGTTGCTAGCTCCCCGTCTACATGCAATGGTGATTTTTTCTATATTTTTATCACAGTGCACATACATGTACATGTACCTACGGATGAAGGGGAAACAACACAAAGACAAAAAAACAAAAACAATGGGTGTATATGCGCTACATGAGCTGCGCTGGTGAGGTGCGGCGGACTCCCCCGACCAAGGGTCTCGGGGATCGGTGTACGCAGCAAGGGGGGGGGGGAGAGACAGACAGACAGAGAGAGTGAGTGAGAGAGAAACAAAGAGATTTATGCTCTTGATGCACAGCGGTCGGGTGAATGAGCACGAGTAGTGATTATTTTAAAAATCGAATAAAAAGTGCCAGATTTAAGACAGCCAATGTCAATTATCATGATCCGTGCAAGTTCCTGCCATCTAACTATGCAAACACAGCAACAACCTCACATGAGAGTGCAGTGCATTATAAATGTACATGTGGAAGTGAGTGTGAGCGGCTTGGACAACGACCAAACCTGGCCCCGCGCCGTGCTCTACTTGTAGAGCCTGGGAGCCTAGCATGAAACTACGAGAACGCCGCAGATCCTCCACAATCTTGTGGCCGACGGATCGATTGAGAAGACTTGGGAGACGGTCCAGGCCGCATTCAATCGGTGTGGTTCAGCACTCACTATGACTGTTGGAGTTGGAGCGCCGCGACATGAAACACTGCAGCCCAGACCAGTACGTAGAATGCAGCTAATGGTCAACAGAGAACGTGGGACAACTCCACATGGTACACAGCGCGTTAAAGCCAGCAGCTGCCACACGGGTGCAGAACGTATTCAGCCAAGCACCGTATAACGTGGTAGTGCGTTGACAAAGCAGATTTTTAGCCGCGCTTCAGCAGGCTATACTGCATGCTGATGCCCTTCTGTGCGCTACTCAGTATAGGTTTTGAGTTCTCTTGCTTGTCAAACGCAGGCGTAGTTCCCATGGAAACGTTCGGCAAAATACATCAGCAGCAGCGGCACCAAGCAAACAATGCCTTGAAATGCTTGATCCGGTGGTGATATTAAGTAGCAGCAGCAGCAACACACAATGTCTTACCTATCCATGGCAGCTGCTACAGTCGTAAGGCTCTGTAGTGGAGAGACCTTGATGATGAATTAAGTCAGCTCTCTGGAGGTGCCCCTCCACATTGCCAGCATTCACACCGCCTACTGAGTACCCAGCCACCCTGGGCCCCAGGAGGTGCACAAGCGGAGTGGCGTCGTCTGTGCGCCCAGTCAAATCTGTCCACGTGCTACACCTTAACCTAGATATCGAGTATGAAGTAGCAATCGTGCCGTCCGTCCTTTTCGTGGATTTGCATGTTGGAGTACGTGATTGCCTTCACTTCTGTACCCTGTGGGTGCTTTTCCAGATCAAACGCCTCACCTCGGCCCTCAGCAACAATACGCCAGTTCTCCCGGTCAAACTCTAGGATTTTCACCTCCCTGGCGACAAAGAACGGATCGGCGGCAAAGATGAAGAGGAACTCGTCCAGAAAGTGGAATAGCAACGAGAGGGCATCCTCGCCCTCAGCCTCCACGGTCTGTGTGCTGGTCATGTCAATTTTCTCTAGCTCAGTCTGATAACCATTCATTGCAACCACGGCCTGCTCGAACGCCTCCTCCAGCGTGTCTCCCCAGCAGTGGATCTGAATGTCGGCAGTGTGGTCCAGGTACTCGTACTTGGCTCCTTCCATCACTTCGCCAGTGTAGTCGTTGTTGTTCACTTGGCCTGTATTTATTTCGCTGTGCCTTTTCTCAGTGGCCCCATCGCTCTCTTCTTTATCGTTCTCCTCGGGTCCAGCATTTGCCTCCTTCTCCGCAGGACACGGCCGCTTCGCTAGACTCTTTTCCATGTCGTCACTTTGCCTTTTCAAAGGCTCTATCACATCAACCTTGCTTATTTCCTCGGCGGACATAGTAAAGAGTATACACGAATTGTTCCTTTTGAAATAATTGAGAAAATATTGCCACGTCTCAGGAAACTCTTTGTACTGTAGTTTTTTGGGTGAAGGGCGCGGCCGGCACGTGAGTGACGTGACCAAATCCATGGACCAGATAGTCGCGCGTCATCATTGCATCATGCGTAGTAATCATTCATGCCAAGCCTCTTCAATTCTTCATTCATTGTGACGTCACTTCAAGCCAGTCCGGGAGTAGTACTTTTACGACTCCCAGATTTATGATCCTCTGAACTGGTATTTTTGTCTTCATCAATATTCTTGTGTTTTGAGTGCGCAAGAGAAAGTCATACATGACCATAATCTTGCCAAAGTCATAATGGGAGTTGGATTGTACTACATGCTCTCGGTCCCCTCAGTTGTACACTCATGCTTTACACGGCAGAGCATCACTTCATCGGCGAGAAAAGAAAATTACCAATTATTTACGAAATGTCGTTAATTGGAGCATCGCTGCAGTCCACAGGCTATGTTCACCGACACCTACAATAATACAAGCAGGGTTCTAGCCAGGTCAAAATAGTAGGGGGTGGGCATGGGAACTTGAACAGTTACCCTATATCCCATTTTTCCACTTTCCAATATTGTCTTGCCACGCCAAATGCAACGTATACTCAGTATATGGGGCGAATCCCTGACTTCCCCCAGACGAATGTGCCTTTATGAACCATATATGCATGAAGAACACGGAAATCGGAAAATGAGTAGGGGCGGCAATTTTTCACAGGGGGGGGGGGGGGGGGGAGGGGAGGGCGTTCAAACAGAGTAGTGGGGCGCTACGCCCCCCTTTGGCTAGAACCCTGACAAGTGTAGCCAGGTGGACACAGTGCATGCAGTCAGTTTGGTACACACATGGTACATTTTGGCTGTACAGCGGAACCCACAGCAGAAATCACCGAAATCATTACAGTCTTGACCAGAGAAATCCGACCTCATGTATATTACAGCACGGGGCTACTCTTCCCTAACACCACACACCACACACCTCAGACATGCCCATCGCGGAAGCGATGATAGCGAACAGCTATGTTAGACATAGCAACTTGTGCAAGGCTGATGAATTGACCGCCACTATTTTCTAGCCTGGTATCCACCACACAGCTGATACACCACACACACACACACACACACACACACACACACACACACACACACACACACACACACACACACACACACACACACACACACACCTGTCCTGTAGAGTCACTGCCGCAAAAGGGTCACGTGATCCCATCACTGGGAAACTTGAGAAGAGAGAGAGGACACGACGCTCGATGACGCTCCAGGTGCACGGGTAGTCGCATCCGCTTGCCGCATATGCACACGTGCTGGAAGGCTGAGCGCTCCTCTGCTGTTGGTCTATGCGCCACCCTTGAACAGCGATGCCTGCCCCGTCCCCGGACACCACGAAAGCAGCGACCCCACCTGTCACAATGCGCGGCACAACATCCCTCCGCCGGTGCCGACGTTCCGGTAGCTCCAGGTGGCACTGTGGCATCCACCGTTGAGGCACACACATGCCGGACCAAGCCACCGCGGCTTCTCAGCCACCGCCCACACCGCCCGCACTGACTGGCGCCCCGCTGCTCAGACACAGGCCGCGCACACTCCTCCAGACACTTATGCCGAGCCATGTCGCCTTTCCATGCAAAATCCCGTCCGCATACCGTACATACCACTCGGGGCGGAGGCTCAGGCGCATTGTCAGGTTCTTGGTAGGTGCTGCGCCACTCCGCGCGGGACTCACATGCAACATCATTCCATGATGCCTCCACGCCACGAGCACGTAGATCCCGGACAGCACAGTCCTTCCATCTGCGGCGTGGGTCATGTGCTGGGCGACGCTGCAAGAAGGAGCCAAACAGTACCTGTTTCGGGATGCGGTTGTCCGGCATCCGCGCCACATGCCCCAACCACTCCAACCGCCGATGTGCAATCTTGCCTTGAATCGTCTCGGAGTCTCCCCAGCGTACCAGCAGCTCTTCGTTGGTGATGTGTTCGTCCCACATCCGGCTTCGAGAGACCCCGAGGATGGATCGGATGCACTTCATGCTGAAGGTTGAGAGCTGCTGCAGGTCATGTTGAAGGGGCGTCCAGCACTCAGAGCCATACAACAGCAGGGACAGAACGCAAGCATTGAATACGCACCGCTTGGTGTGCATCAGCAGATGTGGATTGGAGAATACAGACTTCCGAAGAGCACCGCAGGCCCTGGAGGCTTGGGCAATCCTTGCGGCGATGTCCCGGGACGAAGGGCAACCGCTGTCCACTACAGAACCGAGGTATTTGAAATGCGGTACGCATTCCACCTCCGCTTGACCAAGTTGGAGGGGAGCGCGGTCAGTAGGCGTGATGTCGGGGCCAACAACTACAAACTGAGTCTTCGTTGCACTGATGGTCAAGCCGAATCCCGACGCCACCTCGTAAAGACAGCATAATGCTGCCCCCGCTCCAGACCGAGTCGTAGCGAATAGACAAGAGTCGTCAGCAAACTGGGAATCTGTTAGGCAATGGTGTTGGTCGTCACGGCAGGGTTTACGGTATAGATCGCTGCTGTATGCTGAGCGGAGCTCGAAGCCAACCCCGTCAACTCTCCTGACGCGGTGTTGCCACCGGGTCATCACGGCCCACATAAAGATATTAAAAAGGACCGGCGCCATAGAGCACACACACACACACACACACACACACACACACACACACACCACTCTGCGTACTTGAGCGCGGCCCTACTCCATTCAACAGGTCGCATTTCTTTAGCCGGGACTGTACAATTCATGTAGCTTGTGAAGTACAGGCGCAATTTTGACCATGTATGCACGGTGGTATAGTTGCAAGCAGGGAGTCGTCAAAATACCACAAAGTCACTGACTTAGCTTCAGCCAAGGAGTTACCATGGTTACTACGAACCATGTCTGTGACTTCCAGAATGGTTGTTGCATGGCAACACTTACCACGTACATAATATCCAACTCCCTATGGTGAACTCTGAGCTCCTTATGATGAAACAATTTCTTTCCCGAAATCAAACATTAACATCTTCTCACATGCTCACATCATCATCTGTAGCATTTTTAACAAGAAAAAAATCCAAGGGTTTAATTCACCTAGCTAGTACTGTGGACAGAGGCATTACCAGTGCTGTGATATGCTTGCTTGTTCAGCCTCTTTTACGGGCAAAATAAACACAATGAATGTTTTTTCCCAACTGTTCCAAAAAACTTCAACTCCATTGTCTGTGGTACAGATAGGGACATGCAGTGCCGTTCCCGTCATACCATAACAGCGGTATACCGGTAGCTACCGTCTAACATAACAGCGGTAGCCACGGTCTACACACAACGGTGATATGCCGACGACGCACAACGGTTGGGTGACTGAGCACGAGTAGTGATTATTTAAAAATTGAATAAAAAGAGCCGATTAAAAAGTGCCAATGTCATTATCATGATCCGTGCAAGTTCCTGCCATCTAACTATGCAAACACAGCAACAACCTCACATGAGAGTGCAGTGCATTATAAATGTACATGTGGAAATGAGTGTGAGCGACTCGGACAACGTTATACGTTTATGGTATGGACAGGCAAAACACTGTTCAAACAGTATTAATATTGTTTCCCCCGGACAAATTCAAATAGATGTGTACAATTTGAGAAGAAGTAGCGACGGCCCGGCCACGTGTACAATTTGGATTAATATAGCTAGATTACGGAGGACAAAGATAATAGAGCAACGCTTTCAAATCCGGGCAAGTGACAGAACATTTTTAAAGAGAAGAATTACGCACCATCTCCATCGTTCACACCGCACCGGCATACACACACACGAACGGACACGGACACACACACACACAGTGAGCAGCTCCAAGCCACAGTACACCATGTGGCATGGCAGAGAGACAGAGACTGGAAGACCACTAATGCACAACTACACCCATGCCTGCTTTCGCTTTTTCTCATCACTTCCCGCCTTCGGTGGAGGTATTTTGTGGCTGCAATACGCGCAAACACACACACACACACACACACACAAAGTGGAAAAGCAAATTAAAATCTGTCCGCAGGAAAATAGAGATTCCACAGATGCAATTTTTATTTTTCCATGAAATTTCTGCAAATTTGCCAAGACTTTCAAAGTCTTAGGAGTTGCATGAACGCATTGCAACATAGTGTGCGCGTTTCACATGCATCAGGTCCTTGTCACTCACGAATTACCACACGTACAATGCATGCACCAGGCTTGAGGACTAAAGTGCACGACACCCCGAATATTGCATGCTGCAAAAATAACCTTTCCATTTCTTTCAGCACTCTAATTTATGAGAGATGGACAGCTTTCTGGCAGCCAAACTTCTACAGTGGGTAATCCACTTACACGATTCCCAAAGCAGGTGCAAATTCCAGCACATATTCCAGCAGCTCTGTTGCAAATCATGCCACTATTAAATTTTACTGGTACGGCAAGTTGCATTGTAAATTTGAGATTTTCTTCCGCGACTTTCCCTGAATAACGCAGAGCGAGTCCGTTAGATAAATCGCATTGACCGGAACGGCACACACACCTGAGGATTGCACGCTACTGTGTCATTACCGTAATTTCCGAAGCACAAGTCGCACTGGAGTATAAGCCGCACCCAGGTGTTTTTGTCACGCAATACAGACGTCTACCCTGTATTTCACGCTTCATTTGACCATCGGTACGTAGTATAAGCCTCACGGACTGTTTTTGGGTGACCTACCAGTATTTGAAAGCGTGGCGTAACTCCGGAAAATACGGTACTTTATAGCCACTCTGATGACCACCAAAAGTCCAGAACTCACACCGGGATTACGACTCGGGTTCGGAAAAAACCCATAAAAACATGTACAAGCATTTCAAGGATACAAGATTGCTTACTCTGTTTGAACATGCGTGTCCAGCCAGAGGGTCTCCGTGCTGCCGTCGCGCTGCGTCTCCTGGCGATGACGTCGTGGCGGATCTGCCGGTGCAGGATCACGCGGAGCATCTCTGGAGCGGAATGTTCCATTGCTGTAACCGTTCAACACGAGTATTGATTAGGAACAGGCACAATAATTAAGGACGTCAACCATGCCCGCAATGAAGAGGCAAGGATCTATGATAACACGCAGAACTGTATTACTTTGCACCGTGTCCGTACCAGAAGATGTGTGTGATTCAAAAGAAGCAAATGACTCATAAGTACAAACTATACTGCGGCTCGTAGAGGAGGCATTCCCACTATCGCAGGAGCAATTACTAATATCGATTCCAAACCCTCTCGTGCTCTCCCCGTCTCCCTGCCATGCACACCCGCAGACACACACACACGCGCGCGCGCACACACATACTGTAAACACACCCTTACCCACTCTCTCTCTCTCTCTCTCTCTCTCTCTCTCTCTCACACACACACACACACACTCCTTACACCTCTCGCATCAACTCGCCACCCAAACATCAGCAAAGGTCAGAGCTTCAACGGTTTATTTCGAAGTGAGTTCTGAAGACCAGCCAGCAGTCTTCAAGGTGATTACAATTTATAAAATTATTATTGACTCGAACGGCAAGATATACCGCTAAGCGGGTACATAAGGAAATACTTCGCATACTTGTTCAAACACTAAAATACTATGTGTCGGTGTGACCAAGGATACCGAAGGCCGGATTGTTTTTCTTCTTCTTGAGTATTACCTACATGTACTTCAAGCAAGAAAAGAAACCTATTTGCTATCACGGACAAGATCCATAAAAACTGCTAGTCGCAAGAACGTCTAAAAATTATTTTGAAACTAGGTAAAATTATAGGAGAAAGTAATTTCCATAAAATTAAAATAAATCGTGTTGCTATGGCAATGATACAAGCCAGTCCAGGGCATGGGAAAGCACCGTACAGCATGCCAGAAGGACATAGGTGCTTGTTTATCGGTTGGGATTCCATTCACCAGTGCAGTCATTGGCTGGCAGTACAAGGTAAAGTATTCACATTGTTAGTAACCGTTAGTGTGTGTGAGCGGACCATCAGAGCATTAGCAGATTAGAGTACTCCAGAATAGTAACCCTTGTAACCCCTGTGAAGCGCGGCAAAGTAGCATTGAAGAAAAGAGTCAGTGACTGAACGCGCATGCTCAAACGATACGGGAAAACACGGCAAGGCAAACACAACGTAACCAATATGAGTTCATAAGAAAGTACTTCACGTGACGAAGTCACCGCCACTACTAGTCAGAAGAGAAAGAGAAACTTTGGCGGAGGAATGCTCTCGGAAATGTACACAATGTTGCGTTTGGATCATCACCATTGAGTTGTAAGTAGAGTGGTTGCGAGCACGCAGCTCATACGTACCTCCGTCGCTCATTGGGCGGCAGTAGCTGACTCGTTTCAGTATCCTCCTCGTACATATCCCTGTGGCATGCAGAGCAAACAGCAAATGCAGTGGATGAGGCTGAGAATGGCTGCAAACACAGTGCTCCAAATCAAGCCTCTCAATAAAATACATACGTGCACTGAGAGAGAGAGAGAGAGAGAGAGAGAGAGAGAGAGAGAGAGAGAGAGAGACACACACACACACACACACACACACACACACACACACACAGATGGACAGACAGAGAAAGAAAGAAAGAAAGAAAGAGAGAGGTAAATAGTGGCAGAGAGAAAAAGAAGCACTGGTCAAGAATCAGAACTAACAACAATAGGCCGAGGCGGTACGGGATAGACCAGCACAACGGTGACTACTCACTTGAATATGATACGAGTCCAATGGCGCTGCGCTGCCAGGATGAGGAAGAACATGAAGAGACCGATACCGGCAGCACCTGCAAATGTAAGCGCTGTGCCGTCACTGCAAGGTGGGATAGACACAGCAACAACCAGGCATCATTAGTCTGGCAGCAGTTCTTGACGCGCGGTCAACGCAAGACATTGCAGCATACTTTGCCTAGAAGGATTCGGAGCACGGCCAAGGCAGTCACCGCTCTCCACACGCTAGCACGTATATGTGCCCGCCAGGCAAGCAGCTAGCAGGCCAAGAATCCACCACGTTTTCGTGAACGCGTAAAACAACATAATAGAGAGGTTCTGCTACACGGAACTACGTACCAAATTCCGTGTCAACTGCAGTGCAGTTTGACACGGATTTTTCCTACGTTGCTCCGGTTCTGCTGTACGTAGCATGCACGAAGCATGCACGAACACCCGGGTACCCCGCCACATGTACTCTGTACGCTCACTTTTCACACGGAGTCCAGTCCGTGTGAAGCGAGCTTCACACGGAAAACGGTATGAAAAAATCCGTATCAAACTAAATCCCGTACCGCGGCGAAGTTTCCATACGTACTTTGGCACGTTATACCGTGTGGCAGAACCTCACTAATACCCCCCCCCCCCCCAAATGTGCATGTTTTCTTATGCGACACAAAAGAACCCCACAACATAAAACTATTACAGTAAAACCTGTGTTTGCGGACCCAGTGTACCAAGCGGAATCCTGTACCCTGTATTGACCGGACAAATCGTCATGTACCGACGTGCTGTGGATGAAACGGGCATCCCTGGATCAAGTGCAATCCTGTCATATCGGGACAGTTTCCGGTGCAACAAGGGCGTCCGATTAGGTTTTACCGTACGCGAAGCAAACCCAAAGGCATATAACTCCCGCCGCCAGACAGCTACACAAAGGCACACCTGCACTTACATCACTTTTCCACAGGTGGAAGTCAGCAGGTCGTTGTAAATCTAAACATGTACGAAGAGCGAGGGATAGCGACAAAATATCATTAGGTAAACAGTGTACACAGGACACATACAGTGTGCTAAAAGCGCTCGAATGCCACAGGGGCAGACCTGCTACTGTCTATCTACATTATAAAAAGCAATGTATTAAATTGAGTTAGTTCTATTTAGTGCTTTATTAGAATTGTTGTCTCCGCGGTGTTAATTCATATATTAAATTCAGAAGAAAGAACGTTGAAAAGAAAGAAGAATTGTTCAACTGTGTGAAGAAGCAGTGCATCTGAGTGTTGGCCAGTGTTGCCACAATACAAGTTGCTATAACGAAGCTGCGTGAAGCGTTGTTCCGAATTTATTAAATTCAGGTGTTTTTTTATTATCTAGCGTGCAGTGCAGTTCCGGCTCAGGAATACCAGCAAACACAGTGCACCGAGAGCATCAGAAACTCACCGCGTTCAGATTGGTGCAGTTGATCTCTTGAGACCATAGCGTGTCCAAGCTCTTCTGAATAGTATCCACGTTGGTCGTCAGTCTGTCAGTGATCTTCTGCAGTGGCAACATGACAAGTTGATCGAAACGACCACAAATTTCGCATACTGTAAAATCTTGTATAAAAGCCGCACTTTAATAGAAGACGCGATTTTGGGCCCATCAAATCACACATAAGCCTGGTTTTAGTGTTGACATACATGGAAATACCTGTCTTGTATAGAAGCCTGCAAAATTTCACCAAGAAAGTCATAGAAGCCGCGGCTTTTATACAAGACGTTACGGTATTAACGGGTTGAGGGAATGGAAAAGGGAAAAGTCTGAAGAAAAATTGACTGTCACCACCAGGACTCGAACCAGGCACATTCGCCATTATAATAATGTTTTTATTCGCCAGAGTACAGCGCGTACTTTGTAGATGTTCCCAATTTCAGGCAAAATGCGCAAAGCCGTAGCAGAACGGCAGTCCAACGTGCCGAAATACTCTGCAGATATCCATGATTCAATTCAAAACATGCTTCACACAAGACTGCACGGTACATCGTTCCACGAGTACGTCTTTGGAAGCAAAGAAGCTTCTTCACAAAATGCTCCGCTACAGTCTGCAATAGACAAAACACTCTGCTATACTAGTAGTCTGCAATAGACTACACACTCTGATACAGTCTGCAATAGTCAACACATCCTGCTGACAAAGCAAGTCCTAGCCTTTCCATTCCGCGTTCCCACTTCAACCGAGTACTGTACAAGCATTAAACTTACCACTGCATCTGGCATGGACATGTTCTGTGCGAACTCGCTGAGTTCCGACAGCTGAGTTGTGACGTTGTAGATGTAGATCTCAGCCTGATCATAATCCTGTGGAAGAAAGACAACAACCGTGGGAGTAATAATCATGCTACAGACAAAATAAACAAAACCCTATGTCAATAAAAGTTAGCACGCCGTCTCAACAGAACTAGAAGTATAGCATGTGTAAAATTGTAACTTAAAGTGGTCTTTAAAAAAGTCTATATCCTCGCCCGCTTTGAAGTGAGATCAGAGGAACAAATTGCACCCCCCCCCCCCCCACACACACACACAAGCATGCGCGCACACACACACGAGCACGCACACACGAAAACACCAAAGGGGCACCACAATGCACGAGGAAGGCTGCACAGACGCACCGGACGATACCCTGAACAACATAACTCCACTTACACTCTGGTAGGGATTCGGGCAGCTACCACAGTAGATAACGTAGCGAACAGACTCTGCAATACAAACAGAGTACAGTACACAGCGCCGGGATAGAAAACTTGAAAAGTCAAAAAATTAATTGAGCAATGATCTAATTGATGCATGTACAGTGTTGTGTGTACTGTGCTTTGCGAAACGAGAATAGCAAGGGACCGTTTGTCAGCGTCAAGCAACACTGGTTGCAGAGTAGCTGAAGCATCCTGTCTACCGGTATACACAATACAACAGTACAATTTACCGTCAGATGCTGAAGAACGCGGGATCAGCACTGCAGCCTAGGCCGTTTTTATGTTCTATGCACTACAGTCTCCATGTGTAGTTGAGCCACCACAAAAAATGCCGTGCTTGGTGAAATCCTAGCTTATCCGGTTTTCGACACGTTCTGCGGTGCCTGAGAACACTGTAAATTCAATTATTCCGGACAGATACAAGCGGTACAGTGGAAGCAAACGCGACTATTAGCATTCTGAGACCAGGGAATGTATCCTCTGCAGACACTTGCGTCACCATTACTTAAATGGCGAAAAATTTACTGAAAGCCCTGGTTTGCTCTTCAGATCCGATTGGGCAATTTAGAAGACACGGTGCGAGCATCCAGCTGGATTATCCACTGGCCTTGGTTAGTGGTATGCATGGTCTGTGTCCGGGGATACGCAAAGCAAAGCAGCGCGAGGGACTCACCAGCATAGTTTGTATCCGCAACGTGACTGTCAATGAACTTGTTCGGTGAAAAGCACAAGTCTGATCCGCCCTGCGTAAAGCACAAAGAGGACACATGTACATTGTCGTGTCTGCAATCTCTTCAACCCTTCTACGGTCAACCTACCATCATAAAGATAACCACTATAAAGATGAAAAGAATTCGGGTGGACACACCCATTCCCATAGCGCTGCACATCACATCCGAACCAGTTCCGTTATTTTTACAACGTTTCGGCACTTGGCCATCGTCAGGTAATAACAATGAATACCGTGGAAGCCACACAAGAGCAGTATATACGCAGAGTGTAGCGCCAAAAAAGATGCGAATTATGTCGCCTAGTATGCAGAAGGGGGGGGGGGGGGGGACAGAGAGAGAGAGAGAAAAGGCGCAACTAGCACATCACGGAGGAGAAGCAGCAGAAGGTAGCGCGCATTGTGCTCTGTGAATGGCGTTACGCAGAGTGTAGCGCCAAAAAAATAAAATGATGCGAGTTATGTCACCTCTATACAGAGGGGGGGGGGGGGAGGTGCAACTGTGCACATCACGGAGAAGAGCGCGCCGTTGTGCTCTACGAAGTGAGGGTACATGCCAAATAATTATGGTGTTAATTCTAGCACAGGAGGGGAGCACGGAGCCCCATGTGTCAATGCACTATGAGGTTAAACTTCCATGCCAAGCTGTTACCACCAGGGACGCGACGAGGCATCAGGAACAGAATGGATTTGAGTGACCCGCCTCATATTATAATTATTCAGTGATATTGAAGTAGCAGCAGGGGAAGCTGAGAAAATTCACAACAAATCCCATCCGGTGCTTATGTTCACATGGGGCTTGGCATCACGAATCTCAATCGCAACGCGCAGTTTGCGACGGGCTCGATCAGGCTCTCTTCCTACTACTTCAACTGCAGAGAATGCACTTTGCCCATAGTTAAGCTTACATCCAGGGTGAGTGGTACGAAAATGTTGGCCCCATGGCTTGTCGAGTTCCTGTCGTCTTGCCTCACCATTATGTTCTTCCAGGCGAGTTTCCAGAAAGCGGCCAGTCTCACCAACATATTGTTCCGGACATTCTTTGCACTCGCTACACTCTGCGTATATACTGCTCTTGTGTGGCTTCCACGGTATTCATTGTTATTACCTGACGATGGCCAAGTGCCGAAACGTTGTAAAAATAACGGAACTGGTTCGGATGTGATGTGCAGCGCTATGGGAATAGGTGTGTCCACCCGAATTCTTTTCACAGATGAAGCTGCAGGAAGCCTCAGCCCTTCTTCACACTATAAAGATGAACCGAGAAAGCGTGTGTTCGACTTAGGAACAACCAATTTCATCCCTAAAAAGATATCGCTCTTGCAACAATCTTTTTTCTGTCAAACCAATCACTCCATTGACTTTTGTATACAGTGCATCAGTATTTCGAAGTACCTTTATAACAACATTGCTACATGCATACCGAAACAAGGGCTGACCAGTCGACATTTTCTACTTGAAAACAAATATCTAGCGGGGAACATTCAGAGTACACTACCCACGAAGGTCAAGTTGCACTTGATAAGTCACCAGGACATGACGAAACGTAAAGTAGGGGGGGGGCCCTTGCTGTGTACATCATGTGCACAGAACGAACACGCCATGTACATGATGCAGTCCTTTGTTTGGATCAAAACTCAAATTTCAAGTTTCTGTTCTCTCTCTCTCTCACTTACACACACACCCACACACTCTCTCTCATCAGACGAGACAACTTACCACTGTAATGGCTAGGAAGCCAGCGCCTAAGACCCAGCCGACGAGCAGCGAAAGCAGGGCAAAGAACACCATCCTGCAGAGATAGACATGGGATGATCAACAGTTGGTCCCGGTCATAAAGCACCAAGAGTACATCAAAAAATTAAAATTTTGGACGGTTCGCGTATCGGGCAGGTCAAGAACCACCTTTCCGCTTCCGTGGATGTGGCACGTGGGATTCCAGCCTTTGGCCTCTGGTTGGTGGATCTGATCTATCCTCCCCCACTGTTTAGGAGCCACATCTGACGCCTGATCATGGGGTGGCGGCGTCCCACGGAAGATTACATAGGTGACCCCCCCCCCCCAAAAAGGGGGCAATTGCCTGTGCAAATCTCTACCCAGTGCTATGACGACAGAGCTTCACATCACACGGCATGGTTCAATAGATCACACTACAAACTATGCAAAGTGACCACCAGAGAGTTGTACGCAGGGCGAGCGTGTGTCAAGTGATGTGAAGTTCTGCTGCCGCAGACCCCGTAGACAAGGGCTATGTAATCTTGACAGCATACATAAACTTGATGATGACGTACGGGTGAACCATAGGAAGTGATATGAAAACAAGGTCAAGCGCGAATGGACAGCACGTTCTGTGCACCACTACAACACTTCTAAAAGTACTACAATATACCGTATTTCCCCGACTGTAAGTCACGCTCGATTGTAAGTCGCATCCCCATTTTCAGGTCCATGTTAAATAATAAATTTCACGGTTCGCGTGAGACTCGGCGGGAAGCCCAGTTTTCCGCATCCGTCGTGGGAACGCCACCACCCTCCAGGATCAAAGGCGCAGATGCAGCGTCCATGTTATAACATTTCAATATTATTCACTTCAGTAGTATAATATCATGCTCGATTGTAAGTCACACCCCCTGTTGTTGGCCTTGAGGTTTAGTGTAAAAAGGAGTGACTTATTATTCGGAAAAAATACGGTCGACAACAAATGACAGAATGCTGTTGGCAACACCACATTACATTTGATAATTATTTCTTACATTTTCAACATGCACGAGGATGCACAGACCGCACCGAAGATGGCGACAAGTGCCACAAAGAAGATGGCGCACATCACTGCCAGAGTTCCATCCCACCTACGAGCAACACCCGGGAGTACACCAAAGCAGAACATACATCAAGAACTTGACGAAGCAGATCTGCAGAAAGTTGACCGCAGAAGTCCAATCACCTGACACAGATGCATGAAACGCACGGCTTTGTTGAGTTCAGCAAACTGAACAAAGACGAGGAAAAAGCGAACTTGTTAGTTTGTGGACCGGCTATCAAGTCATGCTAGGGTTCAGGACACGTCAGATGGTAGCATGGAGCACACTACACATACATAACGTTACATGCGCACGCACACAGGCACACACGCGCACACACATGCACACATACGCGGGCGCGCACACACACACGTGTGCACGCACACCCACACACATGCGTGCACAAACGCTGCTGGTAGCTTGACAACCAACCTGTAACCATCATATTTGAGCAGCTGTGTTTTCAGCGGCGACACATCGTAGAAATTCGCAAAGGTGTCAGAGATTTTCGTTGTCTGCTGGTATGCACTATCGGCATGGCCCTTGGCCGAGTTGGTGGCTGAGATGACGTAATCTTTCACCGGCCGCGAGAGGTTCGAGTTCTCCCAGACGTCCGTCAGTTTTACCAGATCACTGGACGCGTTGAACAGGTTGATGGTGATGCCATTGACCTGCACAGGACAATGGAGTGCAGAAAAATACATGCAAAGTTCATATTCTTATCAACCACCACAGCACACTGCTGCGCTCTGCGGCCGACCTCAACACGTTGCCACAGCACACCATCAGCAAAACGACACTTCAGTTGGTACTCTGCTCCTTCAGACAGCAGCTGTTTCGATCATCAGGATCTCATCAGTTAAGGTTGATAATGTAGAATGGCTAAGGGGCCGTCAAATGTTACCAATAATATTTTCAAAACGAAATGTTTTCGTTTGGGGGTGGGTGGGTTTGATGGAGTTTCGTTTTGAAAATAATTATTGAATACTGATGGAGAATGCCCAGTTACTTCTGGGTGTCGAAAATTGACATCAATATTTTATTGGAATTCGTTTTACCTGCAGTAAAGGTGGGTGGGTGGGGGCTGAAAAATACTAAAACTTTTCGTTTTGTAAAAACAATCGGTAACCCCGGACGGCCCCTAACAGATAGTGAACTTCACCCTTTTGTAGCAAAAAAAGGGGGAAACATAATGGCGCATCTTAGGCAAAGTTCATGTGTGAGAAATGTAGACAACTGCTACAAAGACAGAAGAGAACAGAGACGACCGGCAATATCATTGTCGTTATGCTGCGCGTCCATGCACATAGCAAAGCTAAGGAAATCCTCAGTGTGCGCGCGCGCGCGTGTGTGTGCATGTGCGTGTACATGCACGCACATGTGCACGTGTGTGTCTACGTGGCAGAAATAGCCTCCAGCACCACACGCAGCATACTCGCAAACGTACATTTTGTTCAGCACTGACGACAGTGTCGTTGATAGACTGTATGGTGTTCCCTAAGCCCTTGACGCCTTTCTCCACGTCCTCGTTGGCATATAAGGCCAGTCCGGCTGCACCCCTGTAAAAACACAGTGAAAAATGCCAACACACCACGTTACACTCACCGCATAGTACCAAAGTATACAACGCAAAGAGTGTGCAAATAACTACAACTCGCGAATAACGACACTATTTTCAGACCACCGGACTTGCCACCGGACTGCGTGCCTTCGCAAAATACAGTGGGTGTGTTCGATTACTGCCAGGGGCGATTCGTGCATGACACTTACCAGCACACAAGCGCAAAGAAGATCAGCGGCACAGAGTTACAGCCCGGGGACTTTCTTTTCGTGTAGCGTTCATGCAGATCTGGTCCTGACCGACATGCGCAGCAGCACAGGTAGAACAACGCAACCAGTAGTAGCAGCACTCCGAGCACAACCAACACGGCTGGCCAGGCCGCAACTCCCTGAACACGAGAATACAAGCACAGGAAAATAGACTGAGACAGCAGCAGAGAGAGGCGGCAGCATGAAAACTGAGTGTGCGTGTGTGTGTGAGAGGCTTGGTTAGTGTATCGTCGGCACACACAGCAGACAGGTGTCGGGAGCAAATCTCCCCGGTGACATCTACCAACATGAAACAGGTGTCGGGGCGTACGGGGAAATACACTCATATCTCTCTCATCCAAACCTCCATGTTACGGGCACTTCGGTCTACTGGGCACCAAGTGGGCGAGTTATAGCAGAACTCTTTTGCCAAGTTTTGTAGAAATACTGTAAAAGCCATTATTAACCGAGGTGCATATAATTATAACGATTTCCTAAAATTGACTGGTTTACGTGTACCAAAGGTAACGATTCTCACTCATTCTCAACGCTCAATATCAACAGTATCCGTTTTTTCCATGCACGGACAGTTCTACACAGACACTGTGGGACCTGGTTCTAAAGACCACATGGCTTTAGCGGCCGCTTAAACCAGGTTTGACTGTATATGGCTTTTACAGTAGTGACGTCATATCCCAGATTTCTGGCTCTTCCTCTCAAAATGCATGTGATTCACAGTTACGGACGGCACCCGGTCACTGACTGCCTGGACAAGAGAGATACGAATGTAATCGCACTAAGTTAATCAGTGATGAAAGGCACCGAGCTGGACACTGTTCAACTCCTCCGGACTGCCCCGGCACCTGAAAGCGTACAGTAGAGGTGAATCCCGTGCTGTGAACTGTGTTCGTGTGGATGGCCTGCCGCGCGAACTCCGGACCAGGGAACTGCAAGCCTGAAGGGTAAGAACACCTCTATGCTGGAGGAAGGCAGCGAGTGATGCAGGGATAACAGGCAGAAATATGTAAACTGGACTACATGCAGTTCTAGAACTCAGCAAGAATTTCATAAAGCACACAGCACAGGCTACAAAGATAGTGAACAGCTTGTTGAGGAGTTCAACGCATTATCGGACAACTTCAGTCAAAATTTCCGGTGCCGTGCTTCATGGACTCCGGCTTTGATGTCGCATCTTTTCAGCTCAACCCTGGGCGCCCACGAGTAGGCACGCAGGTATATTGCTACAAGCAAACACACAATGCGCGCGCTCATACTCACCTCTGCATAGTTCAGGGACAGATCGAACTCAGGTGAGACGCTTTTTAGGCTGCGATTGAATCTGGGCAAATCGTGGAACCATCTCACAACAGATGTGGGAATATACGACTCTGTACCTCCGCACGACATCGCGACAATGCTGCTTAGTATGGCACAGCAACAGGAGGTGGTATAGTTGGAAAATCCTCAAAAAATACCAAGCGTTCAATCAGTAACTGAGTTACAAACTTTAAAAAAAAACTGTCGATTCCAGAAGAGCTCTTCGATCTCATGCACTAAATGAAAAGTCAACGCAGAAAAAGAAGGCAAGTGAGCGCCGTGATCTGGTGATTACCAAAAGAAAGAAACAACCTCGACTCCGATCACACGGACTGAGTGAGAGGAAAGAGACAGAGCTGAGCATCCCCAAATCTCTCAACGCAAGACTTGCTTGACACTTTTTGGAGCTTTGCTTTCTCGTGACCAGCACCGCGTACCGGGCGGCCGCCGCGGCGCACGATAGTGGCTAGGCCTCCGCGGAATATGCCGGCATAATTTCGGGAATTATCGGTGTGATTTTTAAAACGGGAATTATTGGCAATTTTTGTGGAATAATCGGTAAAATTTGAGCAATGCCCCCCTTTTTTCAATTTTTTCCATTTTAACACCCTGATTTGTACCAAAAAGCTTGTGATCCTGAATGAGTTGATCGCCCGGTATTTCAAAAGAGAAAGAAAAATAAAGCTTCCAGCCGAATTTCACGCGAACCGTGATTTTTGCCCGTACAAGTGGCAAAAAACCCGTAAGCGGTACGGTATCTGCAAAAAAGGGAAGAAAAAAAGCATTATTGTGAGAATTATTGGTGGAATTACGGGAATTATTGGACGTAATTTTGAGCAATGCTCAAAGGAATTATCGGTAAAAATACGAGCATATTCCGCGGAGGCCTAATAGTGGCCGACATCATCACTAAGACACTATGACATCAAAGTCGTGTAATGCGATCATCGTAGTCGCGTCATCGACTCATCGATCGTACCGGTATACCGCGTACCGCCCTACGACTAGCGCGCGCAGGCTACGTACCTACGTAGCTACGTAGATATCTAGATCTACGTAGCTAGTAGGGAGGTTCTGCTCTACGTTTTGGGAACGCGACGCGCGCGCAAAGAATCACGCGAACTTTCTTCGCGTTCCCGTAACGTAAAGAAATCCTGTTCTGCTCTACGTTTCACCTAGAGAAGTCACGTGGAATGTGTACTGGGAATTTCCCCTTCCATATTTGGCAGTTTTCTGCATGCAGTTGATCGATACCCAGCAAATCCGTACGCATTTTCTCTGCGTGTGCCACAACGTAGAGAACCCCATCTCCGCGTAGAAATCTGGAGCCAAAACACGCGAAGCCGCAGACTCTAACCCAGACACCTGCTCTCTACGTGATTTCTCTACGTTTCACGTATAGCAGAACCTCCCTAATAGCTACCCTAGCCCTGAGTACGAGTACGAGTCGTAGTACCCTCGGCGTAGTCTGTAGCGTAGGGTCTACCGCGTAGATCTACCCGTCCGATCCGGTACATCTCTCTTTGGGCGGCGCCTAGCGCCTAGCGCCTAGCGCCTGCACTTGTACCGGTTACCGGTACAACTACAGTACTGTACAACCGCCCCAACGGCCACCGCTGCACCGCACCGACGAGCGCTAGCGCTAGCGCTAGCGCGCTTTGCTTGTCGACGTCACTCTTCAGCATGATTTCTGCGTAGCGCGCGCGCGATAGCGCGGGAAAAGCAAAACACCATGATCGATGTACCAGCAGGCCTACCGGACACGTGCACTGCCTTCGAGAACGGCCGGCTGCATGCTTTCTCCACAACCATGACCAGTGCAGTGATGACTGAGGGAGCCGGAGTCGTAATGTGTAACCATTGCACGATCATGTAAACATCTTCTGTGCCTGAACCAAGTGAATTATTATTTTGCCCATCGCCTGTGATCTACGCTGTAGAGTGTAGTTGTCTTGAGTAGAGAGAGAGAGAGAGATTGGACTGAGTGACACAGACGTACTGGTACATGGTAGATCTACCTCTAAAACATTTGAATCTGAAACGAGAATCTGAAACGAAATTATTATTTTGAGGTGGAAGCAAGGTACTTATCCCTAGATTCCCGACCCTAACACCAGGACTTCCACAATATAAACGCCATCGTGTGGTCGTTCAACGTGAAGTGCACAGAGCTGGAGATAATGTAGAGAACTTTGTGACAGTACCTGTCACGCTTGTTTGAGCCAGCCTGCCAAACATGGAGACGTCGGAGCTGTCCAGTGCAGGAGCACGTCTGTGTTTGAGAAGAGTGGGGCGACCTTCAACAATTGACACCATTGGCGACGTTTTCCCGTAAGTCATGAAATGTACTGCAGAGCTTACTACAGTATAAGGGAGTCGTAAGGGTAATTTATTCAGCAGTATGAATTGTCTATTAATAAAAGAGTGCTATTCCCAAGCTCTGGCAGTTCACTACAACCTTCACTGACGAGATCTGTATGATCAAAGCATCTGTATAGAGGACGTGGTGCCAGTATCAACTGTAACTACAGTACTGGCCAAAGAAATCCAACCTCATGAATAAAATAGCGTCGGGCACTACGCAGCCCTACAAGCACTACACATACCAGGCGCGTGCGCCGGTGCCCTTCAAAGGGGGGGGGGGGGGTTCGGGGGCCCGGGAAATTTTTCAAAAAATGAAGCAAAATCCTGCATTTTGAGCGAAAAAAGGGGGTTCCAGGCACCCGGGAACCCATACGAGGCACGCGCCTGCATACTATTACTGGTCTGTGCACTTGAACGTGGCGCTTCTTTATTCATGAGGTTGGATTTCTCTGGCCAGTACTGTACGTGTAGGAGTAGTGTTGCTGCTGCTGTGGTGAACGAGGTCAGCCGGAGAGCGCATGCAGTGGGGAGTCTGAGACACATGTGTGTGTGCCCGTGTGGCAGCTGGCAGGCGGTCAGTTATCGGCCACGCAGTCATCGTGGCAATACAAGCATACACACACACACACACACACACACACACACACACACACACACACACACATGTACGCGCACACACATACGCGCACACACATACGCGCACACAACACACTTGCCGTTGGGGTGCATTCGTCACTACTCCACCGGGCCGTTGTAGGGTCAGCTCTACTGCCTCTGCTGGCCCAGGGCTGGTAGGGTCTGCTAGAGTGAACAGTATGTAACTTTTGACCATGAAAATGAGGACTCGATCTAGCGAAACTAACTTGGCACGGTATTGGTACAGCCTCAAACTCCCGACATTTTGAAGGCGTGTTGACAGCCTGGCACGTGCGAAGCTTTCTAAACAGGTTTTGTTTTTTACTAAACACAGTTATATATACCGTAAAGTACCTCGAGAGCGAGAAAGTCTCGCGAGAGCGCCCCACCCTGAATTACGGAAAGAGGACTCTCGTTTCCGGCCATGGAAGTGAACGTTGTATGGTCTGGTGCGACTGAAGTCGAACGGGGTTCACTCTGTTTTTGCAACACTGGGGCTACGTCGCATTTTTACTTGTGCGGTGAGCCATGTGAACTGCAGTGCCCAGCGCTGCAGCTAGCACGAACAACATGGATATACTTTCACCAAGCCGCTCTTACTTCACTGCGACAGTCGCTGCGTAGGTGTGTGCATGACCCCAGTACCGACCACCTGACACGCTCGCGGCCACCCTGCCTCCCCAGAGCGACCACGAAAGGACGATTGGTGGGGCGCTCTGGCGGTACTACGTTACATGTAGTTGGTGGCAAGGGGGTTATGCAAACTTTGCTTTACTTTTACCGGGATACCTAGTGGGACTGCGATGATAACTTAACAAATGCACCTCTGAGGTTGTCTTGCACGAGCGGTGGACCTGTAGTCCTTCCCGGACCATCCGTGTCTGCTCATGCCTGGTGTTTCGTAGTCACGCGGGTGCTGAGAAAAATGATCTTGTTTGGCCGATCTGAAGACCGTGTGGATTTACCTGCAAATAAAGATCTGCACTGACTAACTGTATTCATTACTGAGAGAGACAGAGACAGAGAGAAAGACAGAGAGAAAGACAGACAGAGACAGAGAGAGAGACAGAGAGGGGGGGGGGGGGGGGTATAAATCCTGTTCCGACAGAGCAAGAACCACGTGCAGTAGCTCTGTACACCGAGGCAACAACACCATCCTGAGAGTTCTTGTTTTCTTTCTGTGCTGCGTGAAATGATCGTTTTCCTTCTCCCTGTTCTCTTGACCTATGTTGTACTGGTAGTATTCATCTGGGCACGACCACACTTGGAAGGGCCAAGACAAGCAATACTAACCACCGGAGTGTGGGCACGGATACCCGGCAGAAGCGGCACATTCACCTGGACTCCACTGTTCACAAGTGCCTGATCTCACGCCAGCATGCCAAGCTGCAGTGCTCGCTTGGCTGCGACAGTGGTAAGCTCCTCTGCTCAGCTCTAGCTACGTAACGTGTAGTATCCCACCTGCTGCAGGTTTGTTTACTTGCCAGTCGAACCTGAAGCACCCGGCCGGCATTACTCCATTTCGAAACATGACATGTTTGCCACATAGTTGGTCCACCTGCCATTCGAAGATGTCGAGACCTCTGGTCGGTTTAAGCATGGCAGGCCGCACCGGCACTGTCTCACCCCATGCTAGCCCCATGTGCCTGCCGGTGAGTTGTGTATCCTTTAACAAAAAAATTGTGCGTTCTCAATAGGTTGGCACAACAGGGAACTTCCATTCCTGACACGTCCATCTATAATCTTCCATATTCTTACTTCAATCTCTTTGCTTGTGCTTGTGTCCAGCTGTGAATGCCAACATCTCGGACCTGAGCGTCAACGGTGTGTTTGTGAACAACGTGAAGATCGGCCGGCCCACGGACCTACGGCCTGGCGACGTTGTCACCCTCGGTCACCTTCGCGGTGCCGCTCTTCCACCTGGGACCACTGCGGCACAGCCAACTTCAGAGTTTCAATTCAGAGTGAGAGCTAGGAATTGTGCATCTCTGGTGCAACAGCCAGCTGTTAACATTTTAACTAGGGGTGAAAGTTGGCACTGAGATCCCGAGTTCGAGTACTCTGATTTTCTCCGATCGAATATTCGAGTATTTGAGTATTCTTGATATCCTAAAAATCGCACACCAACCGCCTCAAAAACCACATGATGCAACCCTGATTGAACCGATAGGTAGTTCTTTTCTCGAGTGTATTGGTTGGTGGGTCATTTGGGCTCTCTCTACGCGTGTACAAATGTTCACCACACAGTCTGCACATCAATATCTGCTGACTGCTGCTCTGAAACTGCAGACTTCTGTGGTAAATGTATGTACCATGTATGAGCGAGTACTCTGATTTATTCCGAGTACGATTATATTTGAAAAATCCAAACGAGTATTCGAATATTCGGTATAATTGTTTCACCCCTAATTTTAACTTTTTTTGTTCACAATAAATTTTGCGACAGCTTTCGGCCATATACCACTTTACTATATCCTCCATCCGTCACCACCATGCGCTATTAGCCGAGCCAATGCACGAAGCATAAACACGCCAGCACAGCAAGGACCCTTTTTTTTTGTTGACAGGGAAATGTTGTGAACATTTCACAGGTCATAAGCTAAAAGGGACGTAAGACCCACCATGAACCGAATCCTTGTAGAAATGGGCTACAATGCTGTAACTGAAGTGGTCTACATGTATATGGACTGAAAGAATGTCAACACCCTATTAAACGTGTTTACCAAACGTGTCTCAGCCATGATAAGAACATAGGCCGCCGCAGTCCTTCAGCCTTGTGTACGCTGTTGACTGCACTACGTACGTGTGTCCCTTGTGTACGCTGCTGACTGCACTACGTACGTGCCAGTACAGTGAAATCTACCGAAGGCGACCGCTCAAGGGGCCTTCAAAATGTGGTCGCTGTGCACAGGTGATCTCATCCGGGGGCATTTGACTGGGACTACTACCCCTGGGTCCTACTCCTAGTGGTCCTCTTGGACAGTGGCTCGCCTTATCCGAGTGGTCGCCTCGACATGTTTTACTGTATTTGGCAATTGTCGGGATATAGCTAGCCGGGCTCAATACGATTTCCGTAGCCCTGGGCTACTTGGCAGTGAGTGTTATACCAACGTTGCTTGGGCAAAAGCAACCTGCCCAGTCAGTGTTGTCTGGACTTGCCCTGTTACATTGCCCATGGCATCACATCTCTGCATCCCGATAAAACATCCCGAATGACTGCTAGCGATCCAGTCATTGCCATTCAAGCCTGAGGTACGGGATGGAGCTTTATTCTTTTCTTTTTCTTTTATTAGGTGGTGCCTTCTTATATGATTGGGAACTTTCGCTGTGTCACCCTCCGCTGCCGATAGAAGGTAAAAGTATGATAACTTAAATCATTGATTTGTGTGTTCCGTCTTGTGTGTGTTCTTTACTAGCTCGAGCGCTGCGGCGGTGAGCAGGTGGCAACAACTGCTCAGTCGACTGAAGCCGGGTTAGCAGCGATCTCCGCTCCGTCTTCGCCGTGTCGCGCTGCATCACCACAGTCGCCTGCCTCGTGTACCAGTTTTTCCGTCGGCCCGGAACGCAACTGCCGGTATCCTGGTGTCAGGATTGACTTCTCAACGCCACCGAGTCCGACCGGCTGCTCGGACGCGTTTGAGTTATCCGCTTCGCAGCAGTCTGTCCAGAGCTCTGGAAGCTTCTGCTTCTCAACTGGCCTCGTACCTGACAGTGGAACGTCTGCATCTAGACCACGGCCAAAGCACCGACGCACAGGTTCTGCGGCTAGCTCCGATGCTTGGTCGGACGCTGACTCTACGCTTCTGGCGAACGGTCAGTTTTGCTCCTCGGTCAGCAGCAGCAGCGGTAGCAGCGCCATGTCGCCTGGGAGCTCAGCGACGCACAACAGTCACAGTGTGCTCGCGGTGTCAGACCGTTGCAATATCAGCGCCAATGATCGCTGTGCAGCACTCCGAACGCTTAGTGTGGCGCCGCCGGCAGAGGGCGATGGCAAGAGGACGGCAACGGCACTGAAAGGTGAGCAGCACGTTTCTCTGTTGGGGCCAGCCAAGAGCTGTACCGAGGTCTGTGTTCTATCAAATACGTGAGAGAGAGAGAGAGAGAGAGAGAGAGAGAGAGAGAGAGAGAGAGAGAGAGAGAGAGAGAGAGAGAGAGAGAGAGAGAGAGAGAGAGAGAGAGAGAGAGTGGTGTCCAGTATTCAATCTGTACCTTGCCCTCCAGCCGCTCTCAGATTCCGCAATGTTCACGATTTCCGCATCCTGTGTGGACCGCATGCCAAGAGCCTCAGAAGAATTGAATTGGTCCGACAGGAATACATCCAGTGGATAATCCTCGATCCTGTCGCAACCAAGCGCGAGTCCAAACAAAGAACAGCACATCAGCAAGCACACCACCAATGCAAGGACACACTAAAAGTGGATGGAGACAGGCACATCATGCCACATGTACTTTTTTAGGTTCATTGCTTTTCAACATCATGGGTAGACAAATGCTATATAAAGGAAACATAATAATATGGATGTGGCAATGTGTTGCAAATATCGCACCAGCACAACATCGCTGGAGGGTGACTTTTGACTGGACCATACTTTTGCTTTTCTTGGCGGATATCTAAAGTATATAAGATCCTAAGAGTGTGCAGCTCCTGATACCCTTTCTATGGGGTTCGCCGACGGCGAGCAGCGGAATTATAAAAAGTAATCTGACAGAAACTCATTGCGCTTATGCAACTCGCCAGCATGAGAGAGAGAGAGAGAGAGAGAGAGAGAGAGAGAGAGAGAGAGAGAGAGAGAGAGAGAGAGAGAGAGAGAGAGAGAGAGAGAGAGAGAGAGAGAGAGAGAAATGCGACACTGGAATACAAAACAAAAACAAAGGCACAATGAGCACGAAAGACAAAATGGTAGCCCAAAGGAGCACTTGCTCTGCTGCACACACCCATGCCTATTCCGAGCCTGCCAAGAATGTGTAGCGTCCTACGATATCGATGGCTCAACCAGACTGCAGAAAGAACTGACGCGTGCATACACAACTCTAGAAATACAGTTCAAACAATTGCAGCGCGTGATCATGAATGTACGCCACATTCAAAATCCACGGCATACGCGACCTGTGCACGCGGATGCTGCACCGTGCAAACAAAACATACACGACTGGCAACTGTTTTACAGATTAAACTCGGATGGAGAGTCACAGATTTAAAACATCGGATAGTTGTAAACTTGTGGACAACTGTTGTGATTGTGTTTCCGCTGCAGGCAAAACACGCAGTCATGCCAAAGCGCAGAAGCCACTGCTGTCAACACGCAAGAGTCGCCGTGCCAGTGCAGGAGTCCGGGAGGCTACGGCCAAGCTGACAGGTAGAGCGTCGCGCAAGCAGAGGCCTGGCAACAGCGGTGGTGACTTGGAGTACCACGAGGACAGGGACTGCTGTGCGTCGGTCGACTGCCAGCGACCGGGCCGGGAAAAAGTCCTAGACTGGGTTCAGTGCGATGCTTGTGAGCTCTGGTATCATGTACCGTGCGTCACCAGTACCGCCCAGGCGTCTCTTGATCTCATTCGGAGCGCCGAGTTCCGGTGTGGATGCGTGTAGCAGGTGTGCCCGTACTGCGTTTTGGGTTACTGCGGCGGCGCGGGCCATTGCTGGCGCTGCAGTCGCTCACTCCCCGTGAGTGCTATCCTGCTGCGGGCGAACACGGAGCTCCTCTGGTGTCGTTCGTAGCAGTGCTTGTTGACAGCTGTGTCTGAACCACATACATATTCACTATTCAGCACACGCATACCGAAATCATTGTTTTCACACATTACACACGATGACGTAATTATGCCCAAGCAAGCTTGCACTGTGGCGACATTTGCGGTACCCTAACTTACTCAATGTGTAGTTTTGTTTATCACAACCTGGTGTGAGAGGCTGCAGTGATCAATGCTCGTAGCTAGAATACGAACTCTATTTTACAGATTTAGGTGACTACTTTTAGGCGCAAGCTACTTCTTTTTTTTCCGTTTAGTTGTAGTCTTGCTTGAAACGGCGGTGTGATCAAGAGTGTGTGCGCTTGCTGTCACTTGCTTGAAACGGCGGTGTGATCAAGAGTGTGTGCGCTTGCTGTGACTTCCTCCGTTGGCCTATGTGCAACTGGATACTATTGCATGCTCGTAGGCTGGCAACGTACCGTACTGCTTACTTCAAATACTTCTACTGTTTCCTTCTTCACATCCTACTATCTTGGATCCGCTCCCCGAATATCACTGCTGTTTATCTTAGTATTTTTTTTAAATATTTTATTCATATTCCTTACTCAGGCCAGCAGACGTGTTATTATTAATTTTGCATTCCTGCGGCCGCATCAGCCAGACTGTGGTGACCGTGTACCCATACTAATACCTACTGCAGTACCAAGAGTATAATTATTATATACCGGTTCTTGCTACTACAGTACTGGTGTGTTTTGTGCCTACTGGTGATGTGGTGTACGTGTTGAACTCGCTGCACTCTGTTCATGTGATGCTCCAGTCTAATCTTGTGTGTTTCCCCTTCAAACTTCTCAGGCCAAACACACACACACACACACACACACACACACCTCAGACCTCAGACCTGCCCATCGCGGAAGCGATGATAGCGAATATATCTAAGTAGACATAGCAACTTGTGCTGGGATTACACCATTCAACAGCTTGCAAGGCTGATGACCGCCACTAATTTTAGCCTGGTATCCACCACACAGCTGATTGAAGACACACACACACACACACACACACACACACCTCGGACCCTCATCATGCGACATTGGCATTGCCTCAACAAAGCCAAAGCCAGGCTAAAAGACAACAGATGCAGAGTCTTTGTCAACAACTGACGTGACGTGACGCGTGAGTGACGACCAGGGAGTCGTCAAATACCGGTATTTGACGACTCCCTGGTGACGACATTCCCAAAATGTCACTTCAAAATTTTGAATCTGGCGCTTTCACTACGATCGTACGACTCGTACTGCTAGCTGCGATCTGGCGGGCCACGTGCATGCATCTTCTTGGGCTGAACTCATGGATGCCATACATCATTGCACAGCACTTTTTTTCTCGTTTCGTAGTCGAAATGGTGTAGGAAAAGGGCTGTGGAAGTAAGTTAGTTAGTTGCTGTCCTTACTGGAGTAGTTGAGGCGTGTGTTGACTAACTGGACATGGAGCATTACGAAAAAGCAGAAACCCACCGATACAACGGTCCACCCGAGCCACACGAGGTCCGCGTGGCGTCGCGACACAGTACGAAAGACATCATTCAGCGAGCAAAGCAGTTACTCAAGGTAAATCGGTAATTTGTTCATATGGGCATTTGTACTTAGGAAGTGATCCTCGCAAGAGGAGTATGATGATCCGATTGATTTTTCATCTGAACGGAAATGGCTCAACGCAAAGAAAAATATAAGGAAACAATGCACCTGAATTTGAGGGTGTTTTGCTTTAGGATAAAGAATTTGAGGCCAGTGTTTTACAAAAGCAAAGAAAAATTTGTTTGCAGAATTTTAGTACTATTCTGCCACGTGACACTGTTCTTGTCGGAATTTCTAATCACGTGCATGCATATACACTTGCACATATTCCGATATTATTCGTCCCTGTGGGTCCGTGTGGGAAGTCGCGGAAACATTTCTCAGAATATGCGCACTGGAAATGCGAAAATGCGGGATGAAATGGAGGGAATTATGCCAAAATGCGTCCAGTTGCAGTGAAACCTAACAATTTGTGGCACTCAACATACAGAAAACGATGCTGATTTTCGTATTGCAACACTCAACTTATACATGACTCCTGTAGCTATGTGAACACCGGGTCATTGGAACTCAATCAGGGAGTTCTAAGGCTCCCTGATGTACATTAGCCGCACTTGAATGTACCCGGGACTGATCCGGTTGCAAGGGTTGTGCTAGGTACACGTGTACCCGGTTGATTTGAAATCCTAGAGCAGACACTGCTATGACCTACTCTTACCGTACTATCCGGCCAGAGCACCTCATCTCTCTCCTATGCACCCATCCCTGACTTCTTGTCAGGGAGGTGATAACGAATGTATCATTGTGTGACTCCGTGAAGTGCGATGCTGTTCTGCACTGCACTGCAGACGCGTGCTCGACCCGGTTGGAAATGTACGCAGCAGTTCACACCCTCTTGACCAGGGATCGTACAAACCCTGGGTTTTGACAGATTTGTACGATTCCCTGCTCTTGACCTTTGGTCGGTGTACGAGATGCACGCACAGTTTTCGTAGTACTTGTTCATGTAGTACCGAATGAGGTAGGGGCGCTCTGGCGGGATTTTACGGTACATTCACACATGTGCGCTGACTCCCACACCAGCTACCGGTATTAGGGACCTTTCGCATTTGCTACGAATCGAATGCGAAACGAAAGTTTGATTCGGTTCGTGATCGTTTCGTTGAAAACAGACTTCAGTTTTCGCAAGTCGTCATGCAAATGTGCATGGCAACTATGAATACGGCCAGTAGCTTGGCGTACGGGTGTTTACACGCGCACACGTGCATGGATCATGGAATCAAGGGAAAAATGTGTACCTGGCAAAAAATGTGTAGCTGGCCAAATAAATGTGTACCTGACGGATTCGGAGCGCGCCACGAATGAAGAGGCTTCCATTCGTGAAAACGAGCTCTCCGCGGGGACTCTGACGAATCCTCGAACCCAGGTGACGAATCAGCATTCGTTTCGTATCCGTACGCGTGGTGCGAAAGGTCCCTATTATAGGACCGCTCAGAACAACGCCATTTGTGCTAGTCGTCAGTTTGGTCTGATGATCGTTCAGTGTATGAACCGTTTTAAATTTCAGCAAATCAGCCTCCTGTTTTCCTCTGTCTGTCTGTCTTTCTGTCTGTCTGTCTGTCTGTCTGTCTGTCTGTCTGTCTGTCTGTCTGTTTGTCTGTTTGTCTGTCTCTGTCTGTCTGTCTATGTATCTATGTATTGCAAACTGGCTTTGTCTCTTCGTGTACTAACTAACTGGCCTCTGCTGGGATGACGACTACACCATAGCTCAGTGGTTAGAGCAGCGCTGGCTACAAGCGAGGGTCCCTGGTTCGAGTCCTGGTGGTGGCAGTCAATTTTTTCTTCAGACTTTTCCCGTTTGTCTCTTTCCCTCAAACCAGTTAATAACTTATGTACCGGGTATGTATCTATTTCTGTATGTCTTCTGTGATGTGCTGCATGTAGGAGGAAGAACATCAACAGGTGTTGCTCAGCGGGCAAGGACCCACCGTTGTAAAGGCCACGTCTTGTGCAGAGATTATCAAGCGACAACATCCGGTAAGCTAGAAGAGATGGAGACAATTCAGAGCTTTATCACGCGCCAGCAATGGAGTGCAACCCTTCGGATACGTTGAGGTATCTCAAGGGTTAAACTGCCGTGAAAATGGAACTGTTGGTGGAAAGATCTAAAGGAGAGAAAGACGTTAGGCCGCATTCACACTACGCAAAAGCAACTGCCTGCAAAAGTATGTTGAAGGCGACTTGAAAAAAATCTTTTCACACACGATAATTTATTATGTGATCCACTTTTTTTTACGTTCACCCTGACGAGTGTGTCATAATATTTCAATTCCACATTTTCGCGGGACTTTGAACATTTTCTGGCGATCTGAACACACATCAAATTTTTTCGTTGATCGTTCTCAATTTTCCGTGGTGATATTGCAAGGAAATCCTTCTTTGCTGACATGGATTGCCATGCCCGTGACAGACGTCGGCAGAGAGTTGCCGCAGCCCTTGCCATTTCTACTTCTGTGGCTGGTTTTGTGACACAACAGCTTCCGCCTCAGAACTACAGTCAAACCTCGTTAGGACGAACTTCAAGGGACTGAACAAATTTGTTTGTCTTATCGGGAGTTCTTCTTATCCAGATCTGACAAAAAATCGATATGCATATCAGATGGATTGTGTTTGCGTGAAGGTGCATGCTGTGGTCAACGTGTACATGGGAAGCATGTCATTCTTAGCATAAGCCAGAAACAGGTAAGTACAATGACAAAGTGCAATGAATCACGACTGTGTCGAAAGTTCGTACAACGCACTGATTGATTTGTTCAAAACACGCTTGAAAGCAACTTGCACTGTATACGTACAATATGACCTCGACTATTGAAAAAAAGAAGAAGAAAAAAGCAGCCAGCGCACGCGCATGCTCGTGGACCGAAAGTTCGTACTACATGTACATGACCACACTGACTTTGTTCAAATCACACTTGAAAATAGTTCGTCTTCGCGAAAGTTCGCTGTACAGAAGTTCGTCGTAAACGAATAATTTTGACTTGAATTGATGCCTGGCCAACCATAGGATTGGCCTTAGTTCGTACTAATGGAAAGTTCGCCTTATCAGTGTTCGTCCTAACGAGGTTTGACTGTATGTGGTTCAATTGTTTGGGAATGCTGAGAATTCACTGCATTTGTGGATTCAAGTTTTGTTTCACCTGTTTCTGGGAGAGCAGCTTCGAGGGGAGCGTCTGTTGTGGACAGCCCATCCACGAAATGAATACGCTATATGTGACGGGTTTTGGGAGAAGGAGGTACTGGGTAATTGGGAGAGAGCTAGACTCGAGTCAAGGCAATATTGGATTGGCCAATGGAGGACGCATTTCAGAATGAGAAAACAACGTTCTTCTACCTTGTGCAGCGCTACGGTCATTTAGTAGAGCGAGCCACAACTCACCTACGACGGGCAATTCCAGTGAGCAAGCGCTGTATTTCCTAGTACACGCAGAAACCTACTCAGAAATTGCTGGATTGTTCCAGATTGGCACCAGTACAGCCAGTACAGTGGCCGGCATTGTGCATCAATTTGTGACAGCCTTGGTGGGACCAATCACAGGGGCAGTATTGTCTTTCCTGTGGGACGGCAGTTGAACGGCATCATGCGTCAATCTGAGACATTGTCCAACCTTCCCTTCTGTGCGTATTTAGTGGATGGAACTTTTATGAAAATACAAAAACCAGAAGAGTACGGTGACACCTATTGGTGCTACCAAGAGTACATAACCCCCCAGAGTGTGCAACTCCACTATGGGTGCTGTCCCGACAGAATTTCAAGTTGACGTCATTTTGATGATGCAATGCGCACTGTACACGGATTATCAGACGAATCCAGAACCTGTGGTTGACCGAAGCCGATCGATCCTGTACAAATTATTGCAAAGAAAAACGTGTGATGCGTTGACACCCGTACACATGTTGTAAATCACTGCTGCAAGGAGCATTGCGTCATAAATAATGACGTCAACTTGAAATTCTGTCGGGACAACAGGGTATGTGGGAGTTGCACACTCTGGGGGGGGGGGGGGGGGGGGGGTTATGTACTCTTGGTGCTACAAGGGCTTCTCAGCTATCCTGCTGATGGCATGCGTTGATAGTAGGAGTGAAACGAGTATCTATTTTGACCAATCGATCACTCATTTACAATATTCGATCGAGTATCCGATTATTTCGAGTATTTCGTCAATGTTCAAAAGCGCCAGATTTGTGAGTTCTCGACCAATTCGGAAGAAATTATCTGTAAACATAGAACAAAAGTCGCCAACGTCTTGTACAGAGTGTAAAGACTAATGATTTTCATCAGTACTTTCATATCGCATAGCTAACTAACGTTACTTGCCGTGGTGATCGCATGGTCAAAGTCATAAAATACTGACTCAAAGGCATGCATAATGCATTCATACCAGTGGACGAGCGATACAACAAAAGTTTTTGAAAATAGAAAGCCAATACTAAAAAAAAAAAAAAAAAAAAAAAAAAAACGATCGAGTGCAAAATTTCGAATACTCGCTCGTTTGAAATTTGCGAACGATTACTCGAATATTCGAACTAATCGTTTCACCCCTAGTTGATAGTAAAGGTCGCTTCACGTTTGTAGATATCGGATCTACTTGTACAGAATATGTTTTGATTTATTCTGATACAATGTAGTATGCAATGCATTGAGTGAAGAGTGAAGACTATTCATACCTTGAGAGTTGATCTCAAAAAGAAGGAATACAGAAGAAAAAAGGTCCCAAGGAATATCGAGGAGCGAAGCGTGCTACAGCAGTGATCTCTCAATCTTTCAAATACTTCTGAAACAGCTGTGCCTGGAAGTCCATTTGTCCCTGAACCAAGGCTTGTGTGTGAGCTTGATACTGCTGCATCATGGTCTGGTGCTGGTTGATGATAGTCGATAGGAATGTTTGGTGGTTCTGCCGTAGCTCCTTCTGGGAGTTAGTGATGGCAGTGACAATCACCTCTGCTGCTGCTGCCTGCGCCGTAGCAGCACCTCCCTTCTTCTCGACCTTCTTTTCTTCTTCTTGAGCTGTTGCTGCTGGGGCTGCTGCTGTGGCTGTTGTACGTGCTGCCTGTTCTCAGCCTGCACGACCTCTACAATGTCATCATCGTCATCACTGGCGTCATCTTCTTCCGTAGTGTATGTTGCTGGTCGTTTTGTTGGCGTTGGTCTTGTCTTGCATGGCGTGTACAGCATATCATCAAGCATTCTAGTGTCATCATCACTATCCAATGTCAGTGCTGGCCGGGTAGCTGTCCTCACTGTTGTAGGGGTGGAACCTAGGGGTGACACTGACAGTGATGGACTGCTGCTGCTGCTGCTGGCACACGACGCTAATGCAATGTTTGAGTTTGCCTGGGACTGCGCTGACGGTGTACTGACTGTGAGGCTGGCAATGTCGTCAGAGCACTGAGGTTATCCAGTGCCCTTAGTATTTCCTTCTTGTCTGCTTCATCCTTGTTTATCTCTACCAGCAGCGCTCTTCTGCTGTTGGTGAACTGGGCCTTTGCCAGTGTCCTTTCCTTCTTTGTGGTTTCTGGCATTCTTGCTTCAGTTACTGAGTCTCTTAGTCTTTCTACTACTGCCTACACGTGACTACTATACTACAATGTCGATAACCATCCTCTGCTACCGAATGTTGCGGTGCGACTTGGTCCCGCAACTAACCATCGTCGGGCAGACCACAAAAACCCAGAAAGTCCGCGTGCAGCGCGGAGTGCAGGTGCAACAAAAAGAAAAGCAATAATTTGAATGCAGAACAAACAGAAACTCGCAATGCAGTGCTGAAGTGAAAGAATAAAGAATTGTTGATTACGGAGGTGAAAACAGTGTCTGTCAAGGGGTGCTTGCACCCAGCGACAGGGTGACAGCACACCCTGTCAGCGAGATCGAGAGGAAGTTTCGTTTTGACTGTGAGGCTGGCAATGTCGTCAGAGCTCACCACTACTGTTGGGGAGTAGAGGCCCGTAGCCAGGAACACACTTGAACGTACTGTGCCACGACTTGAAATTTGTCCATGTGGCGAAAGCAGTCTGCAGGTCGTAGGCAGAATCTTGGCCAGGAGTGCCCACAGGAGAACCGGTTTCCGTTTTTTTCATATCTCTTGTAGTGATCGCGGGCCTTTATTTTCAAGTTGTGGACACTCGCCGCCGTGAACACGACATCCTTGATGCCAAGGTGCTGGACGTTATCATTGAGTTTGGATGCGATCGGACACTCTGCGACAGATCACGTCATCATAGTGCCACTTTTCGTTCGCTGGTATTCGCCCAGAGCTCAATGAGCCGACATTCCAGATTGTCGGTGAACAGAACCTTCGGCATATTGAAAAATACTCTGGAACCAGTGGAAGAAAAATACAGTTTCCTGCTGTCGACTTCTGCTTGAAAGAAAAAATTGCCTTGTACAGGGGTACCGGAGTTGCGGAAACCTTTCAGGTAACTTTTATACTTTCGCGCCAAATTACGCAAGTTGCCAAGGAGAATGGCCTGAAAAATGGTCTATAACGCACTTTTTCAAGTACATGTAGTGTGAATGCGGCCTTATCGATCAAAGCTTGCACAACATATTGAGAATACGTAAACATAGTGATGACGTAAGGAGCAGTGATACTGAGACATTAGCAGCCGAAATTTGGTATGCCGTCGACCGAGTACGTGTACGGAGCATATAGGGCGTGCAGGTCGCGACCAATAATAATTATGGGGATTCTGTGTACCGTGCAATGATTCAGGTAACTTGTTCCATTGTATTGCTAGACACTGTGTGTGTGTGTGTTGGGGGGGGGGGGGGGGGCAAACATACCTGGCACACCCTGAATCCTTTGTGCGTGTGTGTGTGTGTGTGTGTGTGTGTGTGTGTGTGTGTGTGTGTGTGTGTGTGTGTGGTGTATGTGTGCGTGCGCACGTGTGTGTGTGGGGGGGGGGGAAGAGAAAAAAAATGAAAAGACCTAAAAATAGGGATTCACTGGCCAGAAAAAGTCACTTCAAATAGCTGTATGGTGTAGACCAGGCTGAATAGTGACGGTCAATTCTTCAGCCTTGCAAGCTGTTGAATGGTGCAATCCCAGCACAAGTTGCTATGGCTTCTGCCGTAGCATTGCTATCATCGCCTCCGGCGATGGGCGTCAAAGGTCAAAGGTGTGTATGTGCATCTGTGTATCTGTGTTTGCTGATTCCAGGATCTTCATCAGGTGACATCCATACAGAGGGCACGGTGAGTGGCTACGATCACTCGGGCAAAGGGCTGGCCAAAGCGCTGGCCAAAGTGCTAGCCAAAGCGCTGGGCAAAGCACGGATAAGAGCACGTTATTCGGGGAGAATACCTCTTCGACTGTGTATAGTCTGCTCCGGGCATACATGTAACAATGTTTTCATGATGACAGCGTGAACAAGGCGGGGACGCACTGTACGGGAAACAGTGCTTCTGACTACAACCATAAACCGGTTGGTAGAGTCTCGGTCTTGCAACCATTTGAGGACAGGAGGACTGTTTCCGGTGCAGTGCGTCCTCGCCTTGTTCACGCTGTCATCATGAAAACACTGTTACGTGTCAGGCAAGGCTTGCATACTAGTACACCATGTAACTGTGTTCTAGGCAAGGGAGGGTAGGGTAGGAGAGTGTAGCATGTGGTGTGTTCTGGGCAAGGGAGGGCAGGGTAGGAGAGTGTAGCATGTGGTGTGTTCTGGGCAAGGGAGGGTAGGGTAGGAGAGTGTAGCATGTGGTGTGTTCTGGGCAAGGGAGGGCAGGGTAGGAGAGTGTAGCATGTGGTGTGTTCTGGGCAAGGGAGGGTAGGGTAGGAGAGTGTAGCATGTGGTGTGTTCTAGGCAAGGGAGGGTAGGGTAGGAGAGTGTAGCATGTGGTGTGTTCTGGGCAAGGGAGGGCAGGGTAGGAGAGTGTAGCATGTGGTGTGTTCTGGGCAAGGGAGGGTAGGGTAGGAGAGTGTAGCATGTGGTGTGTTCTAGGCAAGGGAGGGCAGGGTAGGAGAGTGTAGCATGTGGTGTGTTCTGGGCAAGGGAGGGCAGGGTAGGAGAGTGTAGCATGTGGTGTGTTCTGGGCAAGGGAGGGTAGGGTAGGAGAGTGTAGCATGTGGTGTGTTCTGGGCAAGGGAGGGCAGGGTAGGAGAGTGTAGCATGTGGTGTGTTCTGGGCAAGGGAGGGTAGGGTAGGAGAGTGTAGCATGTGGTGTGTTCTGGGCAAGGGAGGGCAGGGTAGGAGAGTGTAGCATGTGGTGTGTTCTGGGCAAGGGAGGGCAGGGTAGGAGAGTGTAGCATGTGGTGTGTTCTGGGCAAGGGAGGGCAGGGTAGGAGAGTGTAGCATGTGGTGTGTTCTGGGCAAGGGAGGGCAGGGTAGGAGAGTGTAGCATGTGGTGTGTTCTAGGCAAGGGAGGGCAGGGTAGGAGAGTGTAGCATGTGGTGTGTTCTGGGCAAGGGAGGGCAGGGTAGGAGAGTGTAGCATGTGGTGTGTTCTGGGCAAGGGAGGGCAGGGTAGGAGAGTGTAGCATGTGGTGTGTTCTAGGCAAGGGAGGGCAGGGTAGGAGAGTGTAGCATGTGGTGTGTTCTGGGCAAGGGAGGGCAGGGTAGGAGAGTGTAGCATGTGGTGTGTTCTAGGCAAGGGAGGGCAGGGTAGGAGAGTGTAGCATGTGGTGTGTTCTGGGCAAGGGAGGGCAGGGTAGGAGAGTGTAGCATGTGGTGTGTTCTGGGCAAGGGAGGGCAGGGTAGGAGAGTGTAGCATGTGGTGTGTTCTGGGCAAGGGAGGGCAGGGTAGGAGAGTGTAGCATGTGGTGTGTTCTGGGCAAGGGAGGGCAGGGTAGGAGAGTGTAGCATGTGGTGTGTTCTGGGCAAGGGAGGGTAGGGTAGGAGAGTGTAGCATGTGGTGTGTTCTGGGCAAGGGAGGGCAGGTTAGGAGAGTGTAGCATGTGGTGTGTTCTGGGCAAGGGAGGGCAGGGTAGGAGAGTGTAGCATGTGGTGTGTTCTGGGCAAGGGAGGGCAGGGTAGGAGAGTGTAGCATGTGGTGTGTTCTGGGCAAGGGAGGGTAGGGTAGGAGAGTGTAGCATGTGGTGTGTTCTGGGCAAGGGAGGGCAGGGTAGGAGAGTGTAGCATGTGGTGTGTTCTGGGCAAGGGAGGGCAGGGTAGGAGAGTGTAGCATGTGGTGTGTTCTGGGCAAGGGAGGGCAGGGTAGGAGAGTGTAGCATGTGGTGTGTTCTGGGCAAGGGAGGGCAGGGTAGGAGAGTGTAGCATGTGGTGTGTTCTGGGCAAGGGAGGGCAGGGTAGGAGAGTGTGGCATGTGGTGTGTTCTGGGCAAGGGAGGGCAGGGTAGGAGAGTGTAGCATGTGGTGTGTTCTGGGCAAGGGAGGGCAGGGAAGGAGAGTGTAGCATGTGGTGTGTTCTAGGCAAGGGAGGGCAGGGTAGGAGAGTGTGGCATGTGGTGTGTTCTAGGCAAGGGAGGGCAGGGTAGGAGAGTATAGCATGTGGTGTGTTCTGGGCAAGGGAGGGCAGGGTAGGAGAGTGTAGCATGTGGTGTGTTCTGGGCAAGGGAGGGTAGGGTAGGAGAGTGTAGCATGTGGTGTGTTCTGGGCAAGGGAGGGTAGGGTAGGAGAGTGAAGCATGTGGTGTGTTCTGGGCAAGGGAGGGTAGGGTAGGAGAGTGTAGCATGTGGTGTGTTCTAGGCAAGGGAGGGTAGGGTAGGAGAGTGTAGCATGTGGTGTGTTCTAGGCAAGGGAGGGTAGGGTAGGAGAGTGTAGCATGTGGTGTGTTCTAGGCAAGGGAGGGTAGGGTAGGAGAGTGTAGCATGTGGTGTGTTCTGGGCAAGGGAGGGTAGGGTAGGAGAGTGTAGCATGTGGTGTGTTCTGGGCAAGGGAGGGTAGGGTAGGAGAGTGTAGCATGTGGTGTGTTCTAGGCAAGGGAGGGTAGGGTAGGAGAGTGTAGCATGTGGTGTGTTCTGGGCAAGGGAGGGTAGGGTAGGAGAGTGTAGCATGTGGTGTGTTCTGGGCAAGGGATCGTAGGGTAGGAGAGTGTAGCATGTGGTGTGTTCTGGGCAAGGGAGGGTAGGGTAGGAGAGTGTAGCATGTGGTGTGTTCTGGGCAAGGGAGGGTAGGGTAGGAGAGTGTAGCATGTGGTGTGTTCTGGGCAAGGGAGGGCAGGGTAGGAGAGTGTAGCATGTGGTGTGTCCTCCGTGGGAAACAGCCATCATCCCCTAAAAATATTTAAGAAAATTTCACGGTTCGCGTGAGCCTCGGCTGGAGGCCGAGTTTTCCACATCTGCCGGAACGCCACCACCCTATATGGATCAAGGCGCAGATGCAGCTCCTAAAGCATCCCTTACGTATTGGGATTTATTGTTCTGGCCAGTGAAAGCAAAGTGAACGCTGTGAAATCCAGTACAGGTGGAATCCTGATGATTCGAACCTCCAAATGCCAGGAAAAAACTTCTAATTATCCGGACATTCTAATTATCCAAACATGAACCCACAACACAATATGTATGTCAAAATGCTCCCATGTTCACGCAGAGTTGCGCTGTGGACCTTAGATACGGATTTCACGGATACTGAACTGACCAGCACAGCCTGCTCATGCAAACTGAACTGACCAGTACAGTGTACAGGGAACTTCGAATTACACTTGCTTACTTCGAATTATCAACACAAATCCCACACATTTTCTATGTAAGTGGAATCCGTGGAACTTCAAATTAACCGGACATGTCCGGTTCGAGGTTCGAATTATCCGAAGTGTTTATGGGGGTATCGTATTGACAGGAATCGGTCCTGGAAAAACTTCTAATTAAGCGGTATGTTCGAATGAAGCCATCATTATTCGAATTATCAGGATTCCACCTGTACTTGACAGCCTACGTTCAAGGAAGGTAAACTCTGTTCTTTTAGCCGAGGTATTGTCTGTCGGAGACAGAGTAGCTTGGATTATGACGTATGGATGGTACTCAAAAGTCAAAACAGTACTTTGCGTCTCAGAATTCACTGCTGTATTCTTTAATAAATTTACCCTAAGACATCTTGAGCCCCTGCTGCAGATGTGTCCCAGCCCTGTGCACTGTACAATGACTATCCCCAGCATCTTTGAAACATACACAGAAGAAACACACGCACACTCACACGACGATCTTGGGGCGATTTGATTTGACCATGTTGTTCCTGCTTTTACAACGGTGCGTGTAAACAGCACGGCTTGCCACAACTGTACTTGACTTGAGTGCCTGGCCAAGATATCAGAAGATTCGTTACGGTGTGTGAATGACGCCAGCAATGGTAGAAAGGTGTATGCCGGTGGTGATGATAATGGCAGTCCAGTATGTGCTGCATGCTTCATGAGGCATCATCCGAGTGGACCAGCTTGAGCAGTGTATTGTTGCTTTGTGTGTCTGTGTCTGTGCTTGCGCTTGTTTGCAGAGTGGAAGAGATTTGGAAGCCGAAGGACTCCAGCCAAGGCCTGGATGAGTAAGCCGTGGCTTCTGGTGCGCGCGCGTGTGTGTGTGTGTGTGTGTGTGTGTGTGTGTGTGTGTGTGCATGTGAGAGACAGAGAGAGAGAGAGAGAGAGAGAGAGAGAGAGAGAGAGAGAGAGAGAGAGAGAGAGAGAGAGAGAGAGAGAGAGAGAGAGAGAGAGAGAGAGAGAGAGAGAGAGAGAGAGAGAGAGAGAGAGAGAGGGGAACACACGTATGCGAGGCCTTGGTCCCAGTAAGACTGTGAGGACTATTAGCGTGTGACAGGCGTTGATGAGCTTGTGTCGAACAGGAACGCTGTAGATGGCAAGGAAATCCAACCCCAGGAGCGATGCGCTCGCACTGCTCCAACCTCAAAGCATGGACCGTGCATGCATGCATGCATGCGTATCTGCAACTGCTGTACTGTACGCATGTCGTGCTATTTGAATTCAAAATACAACTTAGCCCATTCACTGCTGATCCCGTCCTACAGTCAGACGTCGCTTATCCGGTCCTCTTTTATCCGGATCCCTCGCCATCCGGAGCAAAATAGCTGGTTACAGATGTACAGCATACGTGATGCATGCAACAAAACCAGCGTTCGGTTATCCGCCGGTTCCCTCGCCTATCCGGATTTTTTTGTGGAAAACGGATGCGTGCGGTTAAGCGAGGTCTGACTGTATTACATGATTCTATATATTTGTAGGTGACACCCAGGCTCTGATTACATCATGAGTGTACACTGCGTATTGATGAGAATTTACAGGATGCGCGTATGTTCAAATGTTCGTAACTTCGTCACCTCTTGCTCGATTCTAACAATCGAAATAATTATGTAGGTCGAAGAAAACGTTCGCAGCATTCGCACGTAAAATCCTTGTGTTGCTTTCTCATCCCCCCCCCCCCCCCCCTTGTAGTTCATGTACATGTAATACCGTACTTGCGCGGTTAGTGCCCTTGGGGCACTATTTTTTCAATGTCCATCACAGATGGGGCACTATTCAAGAGAGGGCACTACATATTTTAATGCTGGTACAATTGCGTCATCCAGCATAAAAACAAAGAAAAACAGAGCCTAATGTTCACCGTAAACTATCACGACTCAACAGAAACGGCAACAAGAACTGCGATTTTGATCCTGAAACCACCAGTGTAATGGCATGGACAAGAACATCAGCAAAAGAGCACCAAACCTGTCATGCCTTTGTTACAAGCCTGGGGGGGGGGGGGGGGGGGGCACTATTCAAGAGAGGGCTTTATTTTTTCACTCGTTCTTAGAGACTGAGGCACTATCCGAGATAGGGCACTATTCAAGAGAGGGCTCTAATCGCGCGAGTACGGTATATGCTAGAGGCGTCCGCAATAGCAGCAACAGCAGCAGTCTGTACTGCTGCGAATCTTTGATACTAGTCCTGTTGTCATGTTGTCAATGCAGAATATCAAGTACAGAGTATGGGTGACGCTGTCGTGTCTTGTCGTGTAATGGCTTGCTTTTGCATGCCACACACATCCCCACTGGGTGGAGAAAGGTGAATTTAACCCCGGCAGATATACTACTTTTTAAAAGTTGAATGGGCTTATTAAATTTATTGCTCACACCATGCTAACAACACTGATGCTGGCTTGCTCTGAAGGGAGGGGGGGGGGGGAGGAGAGAGGAGGACTGGTGAGAGGCTGTGGCTCCAGGAAGATTGGCCTGTGACAGGCGCGCGCAAAGGCATAGATTGGGCACTTGTGTCGAGAAAGAAGAGAGTTGTCACTATGGGAGTGGGAGCATGTTTTACCTCTTAGCGCCAGGATGGTCTGCAGTGTTCTTGTGGTGTTGTAGGCTCTTTTGGCGCTGAAGGAATGCTACTTGCTCTCTCAGGCTTTGGCGGGGCATGACAGGCATCTTGATGAAGGTGTCAGTTGTCAACTGGGAGTACAAGACTCCCACTTGGGCGTAATGTACTGCTCTTGAAACTGTCCAGGCATTGCCACCTATAAAACATAGGGCCACATTGGGTGTTTGCCGTAGCCTATGTAGCTAGTAGGAGTCATCACATAGTGCTACTACTAGGGCATGCAGTTGCTCCATTCTCCTTAGTTCAGTTCTGTTGTAATTGTGCTGAGAAGTAATGTGATTAGCGTGAGATTCATGGAGCACATGGTGATGTGCCCTGGAGGTTCGTCTTCATCTTCTGTCAGTTCTGCTACTGTCCCCGCTCCGACTATACTAATTATCACTCTCTCTTTGTGAGTGTGTGAGTGTGAAGGAATTCATGAGAGCATTCCGATTATCCAGCCCTTCATTTCCTGTCTTTTTGACTGCCCCACTACTGTACTTGTCGTGTCGTTCACAGTGGGTGATGCTGGTGCACGTACTTTGCATTTTCTACCCACTCAGTTCATGGCAAAGTTGTGTTACTTGATGCAAAGCAGCCTGTGGGTTTGTTCATAAGCATGTGTGTGCATTTCCGGATGCAAGTGGTCCTTGTGGAGGATGCACCATCCACAATATCTTTTGCCATATCCACCTTCTCGCCATGATGTTGCGTGTAACTATCCGTAGGTGTTGCCACCGGGCGTACAGCTTTGCAGTAGTGTGTGTGTGTGTGTGGGTGTGTGCGTATGTGTGTGTGCTGCTCCTCATGCCCGAAAGATCGCCTGCTTTGTGCCCAGGAGACTTTTAGCACTTGATTTTTAAATACTCGTTGTGCTCATCAGCCATTGTTGGACTTTCCCCATGGGCCTTTCTCAATCTTTGTAGTCATCGACACGAAGCAGGCAAACTCTTTTCATGCATTGTTGGTTTACTTTAGGGAGTGTTTTGTGTAATTTCCTGTTCTTGGCATAGATGCGAACCCTGGCTGGCTGGTGGAGTTTGACTTCGGGCCAGTTGGCGGTGTGAAACAAGGGTGTTGTGTGGAGACGTCAGTTTTTTGCATTCAGCATGTGTGCCTGTGGGGTGGTCGACAACTGGGATAGTGTGGTCAGAGGTCAGGTATATACTGGGTTGTTGACCGGGGTAGTGTAGTCCGATGAGGGGTTCATACTGGGTTGTTGACTGGGTTTAGTGTGGTCCGATGTGGGGTACATACTGGGTTATTGACCGGGATAGTGTGGTCCGATGTGGGGTACATACTGGGTTGTTGACTAGGGTAGTGTGGTCCGATATGGGGTACATACTGGGTTGTCGACTGGGGTAGTGTGGTCCGATGTGGGGTACATACTGGGTTATTGACCGGGATAGTGTGGTCTGATGTGGGGTACATACTGGGTTGTCGACTGGGATAGTGTGGTCCGATGTGGGGTACATACTGGGTTGTCGACCGGGATAGTGTGGTCCGATGTGGGGTACATACTGGGTTATTGACTGTTGGTTGTGGCTTGCATCTCACTGTACTTGTGCTGGACTACCGCCCCTACTGTAAATGTCTTGGGTACTATTTAACAAATATTTGAACAAGGAGTTTGACTGTGACCATACTGGCACAGCCAACTACCCATGTTTGTTATGTTTCTCTACTCCGTACACTATTGTTTTTTGTTTGTTTTTGTGTTAGCCCGTTTACTGGACAATCCTTTGAGCAGGAGTCCATGTTGTATAGGGGTGGAGGTGTGGAACAACCGGGTGTTTTTTTTACCGTGCTGGCGAGTAGATCATGCTCATATCTCTTACCCCAGTACTCGCCTAGACTATACTGTAAGAATAGATGTTTTAACGTCAATTAAAGTTAACGATCTACGGATTTTTGTGGGTTAGCGGGGTGAAATTCTAACGAATTCCGTCTCAAAACCGGCAAATGACTGTACAGGTACATATCGTTTTGTACATAACGGCATCAAATGTTAACGAATTGTTTTAAATTCTTTAAATCGCTAGAATTAAATGTTCGTTAACATTACTGGTCTTACCGTATTGTTTTGCTGATAGTCTGCTGTCTGTGTCGTTGTTCTGATGTGTGTGTGCGTGCGTGTGTGTGTGTGTTTGTGTGTGTGTGTTCGTGTGTGTGTGTGTGTGTCGTTTCCAGCCTGAAGGTCGAACGGCAAATTCCCGCCATCTCCATATTGTTGTGTTGTGCAGCACCGGATCCCAGCACTCCGGGGTGAGAGACCTGTGCACTCGCACACTGATACGTACACGCTCACATACAGTCAAATCTGTCGTAAGCGACCGCCCCTTGGTGCAAGAAAAAGCGGTCCCTTACGGCAGATGTATGGTAAATCCGGCATACCGGGCATGCATAATATGCTTCCATGTACTCAAATCGACGAGAATGATGCGATTTTTAATATCATTTTATTGGATATTCAATAGAATATAACCTATAGGGGTGCACAAACCCATGAATAGTGCATATACCAGGGCTAATCTTTTACATGTTCAGCCAGCTGTCGATCAAGGCACTTGCAAGACAGCGCATTTTCACACCTTGCAGTTGACAGCGCACTGGCAAGTACAGTTTCGCACCTGACTGAACCTGGGCCGCGGTCGCTTACAGCAGATTTGAATGCAGCCACTGTGCGTGAAATCGCGGTCGCTGGTCGCGCACAGCAGATGGTCGCTCTGGACAGATCAGTTTGTATGTGAAACCGTCGGTGCACGGAAAATCGGTCGCTAACGGTAGATGGTCGCCTACAGCAGAGGTCGCTAACGGTAGATGGTCGCCTACAGCAGAGGTCGCTAACGGTAGACGGTCGCCTACAGCAGAGGTCGCTAACGGTAGATGGTCGCCTACAGCAGAGGTCGCTAACGGTAGATGGTCGCCTACAGCAGAGGTCGCTAACGGTAGATGGTCGCCTACAGCAGAGGTTGCTAACGGTAGATGGTCGCCTACAGCAGAGGTCGCTAACGGTAGATGGTCGCCTACAGCAGAGGTCGCTACCGGTAGATGGTCGCCTACAGCAGAGGTCGCTAACGGTAGATGGTCGCCTACAGCAGAGGTCGCTAGCGGTAGATGGTCGCCTACAGCAGAGGTCGCTAACGGCAGATGGTCGCCTGCAGCAGAGGTCGCTAACGGTAGATGGTCGCCTACAGCAGAGGTCGCTAACGGTAGATGGTCGCCTACAGCAGAGGTCGCTAACGGCAGATTTGACTGTACATACATGTTAGGGGTGAAACGATTAGTTCGAATATTCAAACGAGCGAGTATTCGAATTTTTGCACTCGATCGTTTTTTGTTGTTTAGTATTGACATTCTATTTTTCAAAAGCTTTTGCTGTACCGTTCGTCCACTGGCAATGCATGCATACCTTTGAGCAAG